CAGAAACACTCTGAACCAGAAGGGAATGGCAAAAGATAGTCCAAGTAGTGAAAAACAAAGCCCTGCACCCAAGAATACGCTAGCCAGCAAGGCTCTTGATTAAAATGGAAGGTGAAATAAGGAGTTTCCCAGGCAAAAGTAGCCTCCTCTAAACCAGCTCTGCAAGATATGTTAAAGGGATTACTATAAGAAGAGGAAGGAAAAGAGTGAGAAAGGGAGGAACACAAGTACAAAGGGGGAAAAATGAATAAGTACCTATCAATAATAACCTTAAATTTTAATGGATTAAATGCTCCAATCAAAAGAAACAGAGTAGCTGAATAGATAAAACATGACCCACACATATGCCATCTACAAGAGGCCCACCTCAGAACAAAAGACCTACACAGACTGAAAGTGAAGGGTTGGGAAAAAAAAATATTCCAAGCAAAGGGATACAGAAAAAAGCCGGGGTAACAATACTCATATCAGACAAAATAGACTTCAAAATAAAGGCCATAAAAAGAGACCCAGGACACTTCATAATACTCAAGGGAAAAATCCATCAAGAAGGCATAAACATTATAAACATATATGCACCCAACATAAGAGCACCCAAATACATAAAGAAAATCTTAGAGGACTTCAAGAAAGATATTGACAGCAACATAGTTATAATAAGGGATATTAACACCCCACTGTCAAAAATGGGTATCTCTTCCAAACAAAATATCAAAAAAGATATTGTGGTATTGAACAATGTCCTAGATCAAATGGACTTAGCTGATATTTATAAAACCTTTCATTCCAAAGAACCAAAGTACACATTCTTTTCAAATGCACATGGTACATTTTCAAAGATAGACCACATGACAGGACACAAAACAAGCCTCAACAAATTCAAGAAAATTAAAGTCATATCAAGCATTTTCTCCAACCACAAAGAACTGAAACTAGAAACCAACCTTGAGGGAAAAAACTCAAAACCGCTCAAATTCATAGACATTGAATAGAATGCTATTAGACAATGGATGGGTTAAGAATGAGATCAAGGAAGAAATAAAAAAAGTTTGAAAAGTTTGATTTGGAAACAAATGAAAATGAACTCACAACAGTCCAAAACTTATGGGACATAGTGAAGGCAGTCCTGAGAGGGAAGTTCATAGCAATACAGGCCTACCTAAACAAGACAGAAACATTTCAAATAAACAACCTAAGCCTACAAGAACTGGAGAAACAAAACCCAAGACAGCCCAGAGCAAGCAGAAGAAAGGAAATAACCAAAATCAGAGAATAAAATGACATAGAGACATAAAAACACAATTTGAAGGATCAAGAAGTCCTTAGAATTCTAAGGATCAAGAACCAGGAGCTGGTTCTTTGAAAAGATAAACAAAATTGACAAGCCTTTAAGCAGACTCATCAAGAAAAAAGGAGAGAGGACCCAAATAAACACAATCAGAAATGAAAGAGGAGAGACTACAACTGATACCACAAAAATACACAGCACTGTAAGAAACTACTATGAAGAACTATATGCTAAGAAATTTGAAAACCTGGGTGAAATGGACAAATTTCTAGAAAAATATAATCTTCCAAAACTGAATGAAGAAGAAGCAGAAAGCCTGAACAGACCAATAACAGCAGATGAAATTGAAGCAGTAATCAAAAAACTCCCGACACACAAAAGCCCTAGACCAGATGGTTTCACAGAAGAATTTTACAAAACTTTTAAGGAAGAGCTAACCCTACACTGTACAGAATATTTCAAAAAATTCAGTAAGATGGAAGACTCCCAAACTCTTTTTATGAGGTCAGCATCATCCTAATCCCAAAGCCAGATAAAGACACAACAAAGAAAGAAAACTATAGGCAAATATCACTGATGAACACAGACGCTAAAATCCTCAACAAAATATGGGCAGACCACATCCAGCGATACATTAAAAAAATCATACACCATGATAAGTGGGATTCATCCTAGGGATGCAAGGATGGTACAATATTTGCAAATCAATAAATGTAATACATCACATAAACAAAAGAAAAGACAAAAATCACGATTATATCAATAGATGCAGAAAAAGTATTTGATAAGGTGCAGCACCCATTTATGATAAAGACACTTAGCAAAGTGGGAGTAGAGGGAGCATTCCTGAACACAATAAAAGCCATATACAAGAGACCTACAGCCAACATCATACTCAATGGATAAAAACTAAAAGCTTTCCCACTAAGATCAGGAACAAGACAAGGATGTCCACTTTCACCACTTCTATTCAACATAGTACCGGAAGTCCTAGCCACAGTAATCAGACAAGAGAAAGAATCCAAATTGGAAAGAAGGAAGCAAAACTGTCATTTTGCAGATGACATGACAGTGTACATAGTAGATTCTATAGACTCCATTAAAAAACTACTCTACCTAATGAATGAATTTGGCAGAACAATGGGATATAAAGTCAATATTCAGAAATCAAAGGCATTTTTGTATACCAACAATGAAATATCAGAATCAGAAAAAAAAATCCAATTTGATATAACACCAAGAAAAATCAAGTACATAGGCATAAACCTAACTAAGGAGGTAAAAGAAGAACAAAGTAGGAGGGATCACCTAATATCAAACTGTATTACTAGGCCACTGTAATCAAAACAGCCTGATACTGGCATGAGAACAGATATATAGACCAACGAAACAGAATAGAGAGTCCAGAAATAAACCCAAGTCTCTATGGTCAATTAATATTCAACAAAGGGGGCAGAAGCATAAAATGAAGTAAAAATAGTCTTTTCAACGAGTGGTGTCGGGGAGATCTGGACAACTACGTGATAAAGAGCTTCTGCACAGCTAAAGAAAACAGCATTAAGTGAAAAGAGAACTAACTATATGGGAATACATATTTGCCAATGATACCTCGGACAAGGGTTTGATCTCCAAAATATATAAAGAATTCACATGACTACACTCTAGGAAGACAAACAACCCAATTAAAAAATGGGCCAAGGACTCGAACAGACACTTCTCCAACGAGGGTATACAAAGGGCCCGGAGACATATGAAAAGATGCTCAACATCACTAATCATCAGAGAGATGCAAATTAAAACCACAATGATCTCACTTCACACCAGTCAGAATGGCCATCATAAACAAATCAACAAACAAATGCTGGAGAAGATGTGGAGAAAAGGGAACCCTAGTGCACTGTTGGTGGGAATACAGACTGGTGTAGCCACTGTGGAAAACAGTATGGAATTTCCTCAGAAAACTAAAAATGGTACTGCCTTTTGACTCAGAAATTCCACTGCTAGGATTATACCCTAAAAACCCTGAAACACCAATTCAAAAGAACCTATGCACCCCAACGTTCATAGCAGCACAATTTACAACAGCCAAGTGTTGGAAGCAACCTAAGTGCCCATCAGTAAATGAAAGGATCAAAAAACCATGGTACATTTACACGATGGAGTACTACACAATAGAAAGAAAGAAGGAGCTCCTACCCTTTGTGACAGCATGGATGGATCTGGACAGCATTATGCTAGTAAAATAAGCCAGGTGGTGAAACACAAATACCATATGATCTCACCTATAAGTGGAACCTAATCAACAAAACAAACAAGCAAGCAAAATATAACTAGAGACAAGGAAGTTAAGAACACTGATAGTAACCAGAGGGGAGGTGGGAGGGGATAATAGGGGATAAAGGGGGAGGGGTTTTCAGGAACAAGTATAAAGGACACATGGACAAAACCAAAGGGGTGTAGGATGAGGGGTGGGAGCTGGGGATGGCTGGGGTGGGGGGAAGTGGTGGGGGTAAAATGGAGGCAACTGTACTCGAACAATAAACAAAAGAAACATTAGCTATGTGCTTCTGTACTTCATTATTTATGATCATGAGGGAAATCATTAGTTTGTTCCCTGCTTATTCCTACCTCTCCACTTTCTAGCACACTGCAGGATCACACTTCTCCACCCCTTTTGAAGTTGGAATGGTCATGACTGGCTTTGTTGTTTGTTTTTTCTGTCTTTGAACAGTGAAACATGAGCTAAGCATCATGTCACTTCCACAAGAAAGCTTTAAGAGCCACTTTGTAATTCATTGTTCCTTTCAGCTCTGCAGTGATCCATGGAGCACGTGTGGAGATGAAGCCTTCAACAGACTGTGTTCTTGAGTCACTGCAATGAGTCTTCCTACAATTCATGCTGGCTTTGTAGAATGAGCAAGGAACTTTTGTCATGTGAAGCCAATGAGCTATAGGGACCACCATTGCAGCCTAATCTACCCCAGAACCCCACAAACCATGGCCCTTGGGGCAAATCCTGCCCATCACTTATTTCTGTAATAACAGTCACATTCATCATTTATGTGTTGTCTGCAGATGCTTCTGCACTACAATAGCAAGAGTTTAGTAGATGCAACAGAGACCATATGGCCTGCAAAGCTGTAAACAGTTTCTATCTGGCCCTTCACAGAAAAGTTTGCTGACCCCTGACCTAGTCTACCTTGATGGATACAATCAAAATATAAAGCAAGAAAAAAAACCCAAACTATTTATAAAACGCAATTTTATACTAGTAGTAGGACCTTGGGCAAGTTACTATGATCTTTAGTGGCTGTGTGTAAAATGGGGGTAATAACAGCATCTATCCCAGTATTATGAGAATGAAATTAATTCTTGTGTCTAAAACACAACCAGGAAGCTTGGAAGAGGGATGCTGGAACACCCAGGAGTAAGAGCAGGGATATAACCAGTCACATATAAAACAACTAAGGCAAAATACTAGTATCTTGTAGATCTCCAATAAATGTTTGTAATTACTATTCCAATTATATAAAAATAAAATATATTTGAATGGAAATAGAAGGTTAGAAGAAAATAACAAATAATACTGATTATCTTTTAAAATATTAAAAGGTAGGATTACATTTTTTCCCTTTTGTTACACCATTCTGTGTTTTAAAATTTTCTATGATGAACACATATAAATTTTATAATCAGAAAAGGAAAATCAATGTTTTTACAAATGGTGAAAGTTTTTAATATTTCTGTAATTTCACAAAACATCTTTTGTTGACATTCTACAAATGACACTATACAACAATGTCCCAATACTTTCTTCTTTTGAAGATAGTTTATATATCTATAAAAATAAAAGACAAATTATGATTTGCTAATTATTCATGTACTACTAAATTTTAATATACAAACATGTATAAATGAAACTGTTTATCATTGAATTATTGGCATATGGTATGAAATTACAAATGTGATTAAAACATGCGAAGTAGATGGCCATTCATCAGTTATGTCAAAAATGCTCTTTAAATTGAAGTTATAGTGGCAATTCTCTAAACACAGAAACCAAATTTGTACCAGTTTTAAAAGCATACTAGACATTAACTTCATACTAAAGTTACATATTTTATATTACAAATGTACTATGTCAGCTTTATATTTAAGCTATTCTTTCTTAAAGAATGCTCTTTAAAAAATTTTAAAGATTATATTTATTTATTTTTAGAGAGAGGGAAGGGAGGGAGAAAGGGAAACATCATTGTACAAGAGATACATGATCGAGTTGCCCCTCTCACGCCCCCAACTGGGGACCTGGCCCATAAGGGAGGCATGTGTCCCAACCAGGAATCTAACCAACAACTTTTCGGTTTGTAGGCTGATCCTCAATCCACTGAGCCACAACAGCTAGGGCTCTTAGAGAATGCTTTTATAACTAAGTTTTCTTATTATATTTTACATGAATATGCATCTTCCAATTCTTTGTATCTGTAATGATTTTTCAATTAATTTTATATTATATTAACCTTTCTTAGAAGTTCAAAAAATAGCACTGGTGAGCAACAGCAAACAGCATCGGCACTATTCCTCATCTATCCCACTCTACAAATGTGGATTTACAAACCTTTTTAACTTCTGTAATATTTGTAATTTCAGGAAGATTTTTCAGAGAAACTTGATGACCTTCTACCTGAGATATTAGGTTTTCTTGATCTATTTGTTTTTCTCCATCTTCAATGTAAACAATTAGAATTGAAGAGTCATTTGCTGAGATACCAAATTTTTTCAAAGCCTCTGAAATCTAAGGAAAAAAAGACAATAAACCAATAGTTTCTATATCTGAAGGATCTCCCATTTGTTTTCTTCCCCTCTCAGATTCTTACTTTCATATCCTAAGGGTTCTCTCTACCTACAGTTTTTATTGTCAACAGTCCCTTCCCAACATCTACCTGTCCTGCCCCTAGAGGACTCTGCTCAAAGGTGCACCTCATTCCTGTGGAATCAAGCTCCGACTTATCAGCACAGTGCACACACAACCTGCTCCTCTGGCCCCAGGCAAGCCTCAGCCATGCACTGCCGCCTTCCAGCCAGTCTGGACTACTGGGAGATGCCAGCACTTCATACTTCTTTGACTATGCGCACACTGTGTTCTGTGCCTGGAATGCTCTCATCCTTCAAAGTCCAGTTCAAATGTCACTCCCCACTGCACCATCCTCCTTACAAACTATTCTTCACTGTTCCCACACATGTGAATTATTATTCCCATTATATCATTTATCTTAGGGCCTTTAAACTTCTGTCTTGTTCACTTGGTTTCCTCAGGAACGTATTTGTTTCTTCTGTTTCTAGAACTGTAAGTGGAATAGGGACAAACTCAACAGATGTTTATTGAATAGTTTCTTGAATTATTTCAAATGATCTCAATGAAACAATAATCATCTAGTAATTTTTTCCTCCAAGTACTAGGGATTCTATTACTATGCATTTTATAAATATTTCAAACATGTGTATTTTAGACCATACCACAGTTTTCTAATTTTTTGATAATATGCCTGCTTGTGTTAGTAATAGTAATACTAAAACTTAATCAGCAAAATTTCAGTTATTTTTTTACTTTAATGTGCCACATGTGGAATGTCTTTAACTCAGTAACTTTGATTACTATCAGTATCTCAATCTACAAACTCTTCCTCTGCACTGAGTGTGTGAATAAGCACGTGTTAAGGGCTGGTCTTGGTATCAGGCAGGCTTTTGGTATATGGAAAAGACAAATTCTATCCTCAAGGAGTTTATAGAGAGAATAAAAGATGCATATGATAACACATAAATATCCATGCCTGCTGTTTTATCATTTAAATTTAGGTACCATTTATAGGGATCTTCCTGACCCTATAAAGATAAAACTATCGTCACCTAATGTTACAAAACTAGTTGACCTAATAAATGAATTTGGCAAAGTAGCAGGATACAAAGCCAATATTCAGAAATTGATGGCATTTTTATACACCAACAATGAACTATCGGAAAGGGAAACTAAGAAAACAATCCCATTTACTAATGCAAAAATGAAAACAAAAAACAAAAACAAAAAAACGCACCTAGGAATAAATTTAACCAAAGAGGTGAAAGACCTGTGCTCCAAAGCTTATTTTTCTAGTAAGAGGCAGTGCTAAACCTCAACTCTCTGTCCAGACCTCTCTTCACTATTACTTTGGTTTGTTGCTAACAATAGGCTTGCAGGGATTTAGCCTTCAGCTCAACACTGGGGAACACATGTGCTATCATGGCAAGCCCAACAGATGTGAAGTAAGGAAAATCTACTATATTAATTACATTGTTATTTGGGGACAGGTTGAAAATAATTTCAGTAGCGAGAGTTCTCGTCTTCATCTTCCCTAGTTTGTAGAGATGAACTGCTTTGTTTGCTGCCACAAGTATCTGAAATGGATCGACGATCTACCAAAGAAAACAACAAGAATATTTACACACACAGAATTTGAGTACTCTGAAGACGCAGGCCCTATCTCATGGTCACTCCAAGGTCAGGCTGTTTTACCTCATCACAATTCCTATGGACTATATTTTCAAAATTGCTATATCAAGGACCTGGGTGTTCAAAAAAAAATCATAGAATTTTAAAGCTGTAAAAACTTAAGTAGTAAAAACTTGAAAATAACATTTATCAAGGACTAATATGGGAAAGGTCATACCCTAAACATTTACACTTGTATTATTTTCTTTAAATCTTAAAACTACCCTATGAAATTGGTGTTCTTATTTGCCGGCACTAGATGAGGAAATGAAGGCAATGCATCTCTGGGTTTGAATGCCAGCTCTGGTCACTTACCTATGAGGGAACTTCGGCAAATTCCTTAGTGTCTTATCTGTTACATGCAGGTAATCATAGTACTTCGCAGGATTGTTATGAAATGAGTTAGTATATGTAAAACACTTAGAACAATGTCACGGACAGAGTAAATGCTATATAAAGGTTGGCTACCATTTGTGCAAAGTCATCATAATTGGTAGAGTTGGGATTAAGCCCTAGCAATGTGATTCCACCGTGCATGCTCTTCAGGACTATGCAATGCCTCCTCTGCAGAGATTTTCTAGTTCCGGTGAGAAATAGAGAGCCAGGTGTCTGCCATTATGAAGCCAGACCTTCCCTTTCTCTCCGTGCAGGGCCTGACATTTCAGCTTCTGTTCACAGTTAAATTCAAGGTTGCCCAAACCTGACTCCACTCCAGAGCCTGAAAAAGAACTTTTCATCTGAAGGTGACAATTTTAGACTAACCTGTAACATCATGAAAAGTTAACATATTCTTAAGTGCTACGTACATCTTACTCATTCTCGTGCACTTACCACAGTAGGGTTTATTAATGAACCATCAATGACACCTTCCATGGCCTTTTTTCTCAAGTCTCCAGCATTTTTTACATCTTTAAATAACAGAAGGGTCACCCTGCATTCAGGAAATAGGTCCAGCTGATGTGTTAACTGCATTTCACAGGTAAGCAGGATTCTACTGCATAAAACCAAAAAGACCAAGACTTCATTTGTTTAAAAGTTGACATTATAATTCATAACAAATATCTTTGCTAACAAATAAAAATAACTTTAATAAGATGATAGAACTATTAACTAGAAAAATCCATACCAAAAGGACATCCTCATGAGATGTTATCTTCCTAACCTCACGGAGCTTTTGTATCTGCCTTTACTTGGGAAAGGATCAAGGCTGCTGCCTAATCCACTGGTTGTACAGATGAAGCCTCAGATACATGGTTGAGGGGCAGCAACCCCAACAGACAACTAGAGAAGAATACCAGGAATTCTTTAGACCACAAGTTTTCACTTCTACTCAGTCTTTTTAATTTTCTGATCTCACCCTTTTATTTGTATTTTTGCAGAACCTAGACACACATATTAGGAATAAAATAACTTTATAGAAAAAAGTACAACACAATTCAATGATAGCCATTTCATACATGGAATTTGAGCAGAGAGGGCACATTATTAAATAATCAATAATATTGGCCTTTTCTTAAACATAAGTTTAATAAGGAAAGAACAGGCTATATACATAGACATAAAAGAAGCACAAGAGACAATCTGAATAACTAGAAAGACAAAACCATAACCTTGGATGGAAAAACAAAGCAGTGCCAAAATTTGATCTTTTAAACAATTTCCATCAGAATCTTAATGAGATTTTTGGGTGAGGCAATTTGGTAGGTTCATTTTATCTTTCTACCTGGTAGGTTCTATTTCTAGAACTCTTTCTCAAGGAATAAATTGGAAATCTGAGAATTTATGTAAAAAGATGTCATCCTCATTCTATCAGCAAAAAGTTGAAAGCCTATTACCTAGTAACAGAGGATTGGTTGTGACTAAACAACCATTAAAAACTGCAGTCTCACAATACATTAAATAGATCTTACACCATGATCAAGTGGGATTTATTCCAGGGTTGCAAGGATGGTACAATATTCATAAATCAATAAATGTGATGCATCACATAAGCAAAATGAAAGGTGAAAATCACATGATCCTATGAATAGATGCAGAAAAAGCATTTGATAAAGAAAGTCTAGCACCCATTTATGATAAAAACTATCAGCAAAGTGGGAATACAGGGAGCATACTCCAAAATAATAAAGACCGTATATGAGAGACCTACAGCCAACATCATACTCAATGGATAAAAACTAAAAGCTTTCCCACTAAGATCAGGAACAAGACAGGGATGTCTGCTTTCACCACTCTTATCTAACATAGTACTGGAAATCCTAGCCACAGTGATCAGACAAGAAGAAATAAAGGCATCCAAAGGCATCCAAATTGGAAAGGAGGAAGTAAAATTGTCATTTTTTGCAGATGACATTATAGTGTACAAAGAAAACCCTATAGAATCCACCTAAAGACTATTTGATCTAATAAACGCATTCAGCAAAGTAGTGGGATACAAAGTCAATATTTACAAACTGATGGCATTTTTATACACCAATAATGAACCATCAGAAAGATAAACTATGAAAACAATACCATTTATTCTCGTTTCTTTTGACAGTTCCATTTACTATAGCAACAACAACAACAACAAAAGCACCTAGGAGTAAGTTTAACCAAGGAGGTAAAAGACGTGTACTCAGAAAACTATTGGATATCAAAGAAAGAAACTGAGGAAGATATAAACAAGTAGAAGCATATACAATCTTTGGGTATAGGAAGAATTAACATCATTACTTCCAGCCAAGATGGAGGTGTAGGTAAACACATTGTGCCTCCTCGCACAACTAAAAGAAGGGTAACAATTTAAAAACAAAAAACAACCAGAACTGACAGAAAACTGAACTATATGGAAATCTGATAACCAAGGAGTTAAAGAAGACACACTCATCCAACTGGTAGAAGGGGCAGAGACGGGTGCGTGGACAGAACTCGCAGCAAAGCGGTGGTGGAGGACCCAGGCAGGTAAGGCAGTGGCTGGACCCAGCGCCGGATTGTGGAGAGGGGTGAGCAAGGATACAGCTGGTGGAGCAGGCGGTCCCACATTTACACTCAGATAAACTGGGAGGAACAATTGGGGAGTGAGACAGACCACCCAACCCAGAGCTCCAGCTTGGGGAAATAAAACCTCAAACTACTGATTAAAAACCCCTGTGGGGGTTGAGGTGGCAGCGGGAGAAACACCCAGCCTCACAGGAGAGTTCATTGGAGAGATCCACAGGTTCCTAGAATGTACACAAACCCACCCACCTGGGAATCAGCACCAGAAGGGCCCAATTTGCTTGTGGAAAGCGGGGGAAGTGACTGAAAGCCGGCAGAGAGCAGAGCAAGCGTCATTGTTCCCTCTTAGACCTGTTCCCCACACACAGCATCACAACAAAGCCACGTGGGTTACCCATCCCGGGTGAACACCTAAGGCTCCGCCCCTCACTATGTAACAGGCGAGTCAAGACAAAAAGATGACCCAAATGAAAGAACAGATCAAAGCACCAGAAAAAATACAACTAAGTGATAAAGAGATAGCTGACCTATCAGATGCAGAGTTCAAAACACTGGTAATCAGGATGCTCACAGAATTGGTTGAATTTGGTCACAAATTAGATGAAAAAACAAAAGCTACGCTAACGGAAATGAAGGGAAATGCACAGGGAGCCAACATTAATGGGAAGAAAACTGGGGCTCAGATCAATGGAGTGGACCAGAAGGAAGAAAGAAACAACAAATCAGAAAAGAATAAAGTGACAAGAATTCAAAAAAATGAAGAGAGGCTTAAGAATTTCTAGGACATCTTTAAACATTCCAACATCCGAATTATGGGGTACTAGAAGGAGAAGAGGAAGAGCAACAAGTGGAAAACTTATCTGAACAAATAGTAAAAGAAAACTTCCCCATTCTGGCAAAGGAAATAGACTTCCAGGAAGTCCAGGAACCTCTGAGAGTCCCAAAGAAGTTGGACCCAAGGAGGAACACACCAACGCACATCGTAATTACATTACTCAAGATTAAAATGAAGGAGAATCCTAGAAGCAGCAAGAGATAAGGAGACAATTATCTACAAAGGAGTTCCCATCAGACTGTCAGCTGATTTCTCAAAAGAGACTTTGCAGGCAAGAAGGGGCTGGAAAGAAGTATTCCAAGTCATGAAAGGCAAGGACCTACATCCAAGATTGCTCTATCCAGCAAAGCTTTCATTTAGAATGGAAGGGCAGATAAAATGCTTCTCAGATAAGGTCAATTTGAAGGAGTTCATCATCACCAAGCCCTTATTATATGAAATGTTAAAGGGACTTATCTAAGGAAAAGAAGATAAAAATTATGAACAGTAAAATGAGAGCAAACTCACAATTATTAACAACCACACCTAAAACAAAAACAAAAGCAAACTAAGCAAACAACTGGAACAGGAACATAACCACAGAAACGGAGATCACATGGACAGTTATCAACAGGGGAGTGGGAGGGGGATAGAGGGAGAAAAGGTACAGAGAATGAGTAGCATAGATGGTAAGAAGAAAATAGACAGAGGAAGGGTAAGAACAGTATAGGAAATGTAGAAGCCAAAGACCTTATGTGTATGACCCATGGACATGAACTAAAGGTGGGGAATGTGGGTGGGAGGAGGTATGCAAGATGGAGGAGAGTGAAGGGGGGAAAATGGGACAACTGTAATAGCATAATCAATAAAATATATTTAAACAACAACATAATAAAAATAAAAACACTTAAATGTTAAAAAAAAATTAACATCATTAAAATGTCCATACTACCTAAAGCAATCTATAAATTCAACACAATTCCTATTAAAGTATCAGTGGCATATTTCACAGATCTAGAACAAATATTCCAGAAATTTGTTCTAGAATCAAAAAAGACCCCAAATAGCCTCAGCAATCTTGAAAAAGAAGAGCAAATTTGGAGGGATCACAATATTTGATATCAAACTATATTATAAGGCCACAGTAATCAAAACAGTCTGGTACTGGCATAAGAACAGACACACAGATTGATGGAACAGACCAGAGAGCCCAGAAATAAACCAATATCTTTTTGGTCAATCAATATTTGACAAAGGAGTCAAGAGCATAAAATGGAGTAAAGACACCTCTTCAATAAATGGTATTGGGAGCACTGGTCTGGTACATGCAAAAAATGAAACTAGACCACATCTTATACCACACACCAGAATAAACTCAAAGTGAATAAGAGACTTACATATAAGTAATGATACCATAAAAATCCTAGAGGAAAACATAGGCAGTAAAATTTCATATATTTCACATAGCAGTATTTTTGCTGTTGTATCTCCTAGGGCAAGGGAAACAAAGGAAAAAATAAACAAATGGGACTACATCAAATTAAAAAGCTGCTGCACAGCTAAAGTAACCATCATCAAAATGAAAAGGGAACCGACTGCATGGGAGAACATATTGGCCAACAGTACACTGAACAGGAGTTTAATCTCCAAAATATATAAAGAACTTATATGATTCAACACCAGAAAGACAAACAATCCAATTAAAAAACAGGCAAAGACCTGAATAGACCCATTTCTAAGGAGGACATACAGAGACATGGACATGAAAAGATGCTCAACATCACTAATCATCAGAGAGATGCAGTTTAAAACCACAATGAGATATCATTTCACACTGGTCAGAATGGCCATCATTAACAAATCAACAAACAAATGCTGGCAAAGATATGGAGAAAAGGGAACCCTAGTGCACTGTCGGTGGGAATGCAGACTGGTACTGCCACTGTGGAAAACAGTATGGAATTTCCTCAAAATATTAAAAATGAAACTGCCTTCTGACCCAGCAATTTCACTGTTGGAAATATACCCAAAGAATCCCAGAATGCCAGTTCAAAAGAACTTATGCACCCCTATGTTCATAGCAGTGTTATTTACAATAGCCAAGATTTGGAAACAGCTGAAGTGGCCATCAATAGATGAGTGGATTAAAAAAGCTGTGGTACATTTCTATAATGGAATACTACACAGCAGTAAAAAAGAAGGAATTCCTACCTTTTGTGATAGCATGTATGGAACTGGAGAGTATTATGCTAAGTGAAATAAGTCAGGCAGTGAAAGACAAATGCCATATGATCTCACCTATAAGTGGAATCTCATGAACAAAATAAACTGAGCAAAATAGAACCAGAGGCATAGAATTATGGAGCAGACTGACAGCTGAAGAGGCCTGGGGGAGGTGGAGAACAACTGAAAGAAGGTGACAGGATTAGTCAAAGAACATATATAAGGACCCCTGAATGTGGACAATGGTGCTGGGATTGACTATGGAAGTGGGAGGCAGGCTGTGTGGAGGGCAGCAAAGGGGGGAAAATTTGGACAACTGTAAAAGCATAAACAATAAAATATTTTTAAAAACTGTAGTCTTGAAGAGTAGATGTGTGAAAATAGCAATAAATAACATTAAATAAATATATCTGACTGGGAAACAAGTAATAAAATTTGGCATAAATCACAGGGCTTTTAAAAAGGTGCACAGATGCCCTGACTGGTGCGACTCAGTGGACTGGGCATCTTCTGCAAACTGAAAAGTTGCCAGTAGGAGGGTTCCTGGTCAAGGCACATGCCTGGGTTGTGGACCAGGTCCACAGTTGGGAGTGTGCAAGAGGCAACCGATAGATGTTTCTCTTACACCTGATGTTTCTCTCCCTTTCTCCCTCCATTCCCCTCTCTCTAAAAAAAACAAAAAAAAAAACAAACAAATAAATCTTAAGTAAATAAATGGTGCGAGCATGTGCGCGCACGCACACACACACACACCAACACTGAAAGTAAAATACACCAAAAAGTTATCTCTGACTTGGTAGAATTACATCTGACATTTTCTGTTACAACAAAAAAAATCTGTAAATAATGTTGACACATACCAGTTCAATCTTTATTGTCATGATAATGTCCAGTGGGAAAAATACAGACACAGATAGCTATAATGAATGTATTCTCATTTATGCAAAAAGATGCAGGCAGAAAACAAAAACATGAAGGAAATCCATCAAAATATGGCCATCTTGGGTAGTCAGATTGTAGACAATTTTTTTACTGTCCTCTACAAAAAAATAATTGTATGTTCTGAGTTGTCTACAGGCAGCACACAAAATATACTGAATATACATAATCGTGGAAAAAAATTGGTTTTAGTTTTTATACTAGGGTAAAAGGGACTCCTAGCACACATCAAAATAGTTTAGTTTTGTTTTACATAATTCACTCACTTGGGCCAGAAACTTAAGTAAGATGACTCTCACTTAAATAGCACATCTAATTCATAAAGTCTTGTCAGTTTTACTTCTTCGGTATTACGGTCAGTCCACTTCTCTCTCATACCCAAAGCCACCAACCTAGACAACTGTCTCTGGCCTCCTATACAGCTTTGGCCTTCTACAGTTGTGGCCTCCTAGCTGTGGTCGCCTCACAACTCCTACCCTCCTATCATCCAACCTCAACCCGGCAACGTGATCCTTTCAAAATGTAAACCAAATCTTGTCCTTCCGCTGCTGTTGGGAAAGACCCCAACTCTCTGTCAAGGCGTCCCAGATTCTAAGTCCTGGGCCGATCGCCCCGCCCTTTAAAAAAACTTGAATTGCTCCTCAATCCTTACCCAAGAACATGCTTACAGAGGGGAAGGGAAGGAGGGAGAAATACCGATGTGAGACAGAAACATCTATCGATGGGTTGTCTTTCCTACGTACCCCGAGTACCCCCACCGGGGATGGAAGTAGGACGCTCCAACCAACTGAGCCACGACGGGCACGTCACTCTCAGCTTCAAGTCATCCACTCTGCCCTTTCGGACTGGTAGTTCCCCTAAACCAATTCCCCCCTCCCTAACAGAACGCCCAGAGCCCTGGGGTCCCTATTATAAGAGCTCCTTCTTAGCCCTTGTCACGCCTTTAATGAACCGCGAGCTTATCTAAATTTTATGTGTATTCCTTGAAGTGAGACTGAGTCTATCACGTCCGTGCCGCATTCCCAGGGCCTGGCCTAGGGAAGCGCTTGGTAAACAAGGGCTGACGGAATTCCAGACATCATCGCAAAAAAACCCAGTTACAGGTGTGAGGCATCCGCCAGCCTGCGCACCCACCTCCGGTCCTTTTCCTTCCAGGCTAGCCCGGCCAGCTCTAGTGCCACGAGACTACACCGCCACCTCCCCGTCAGTCTCGGAAGCCCTTCCCCTCGGAAACGAAGCCCTCAACTTCCGGGAGCGGGCTGCAGCAGCACCTCATCCCCTCCCTCCGCCAGTCCGCAGTTTTCCGGATCCGCGGGAGAGTAAAGTTCCGGGCTTCAGTTCCATCCGCCCTCCCGTTCTTCCGCAGGTCTTTATTCCCCAGCTGGTTGCCTAAGCGGAGAGCCAAGGTGGCGCCCGTCACTTCCGGCGAAGGGGGTGAAAGGTTCTGTGGGATGGAAGCTGAGGTATGAATGCGAGTCTCAGCTTTGTCCCTAACTCTTGCTGGGCTTTGGACGAAACGCCCTCTCTTCCTATGCAAAGCATTGGCCGTGATGAACTCTACATATATCTCTGCTGGTCAAGATTCAACAGTTTTGGGGGGACAGGAGGGACTCATTTTCCTTCTTGCTCTCAGTGTGGTCATTTAGGGAGGATCTCTAAATGTTGCTTTGGATAAGGAAAGATCCATAACTACATTAATAAAATCAACCTCTTCATCTACCAGGTGCAGAAATTTGGTGCCATCCCTGAATGTAACAGCCTCCAAGAGAAGAGGTTATCCTCTAAACAGGCTGTATTTCCCATGTTCTATATGGTTGGGGCTCATCTTGTTCAACACAGGAAGACAGGTAAACAAGTATAGCTGTCTTATGGATATGTGCTATAGAGATAAAGAGGGAATGCCTCTGTTTTAAATAGGATGTTTAAGAAATATCTCACCAACAAAAGGTCTATATGAACAGTGACTGGAGGAGATCTCGACGGAAGCTGTGTATCTGGGAGAACAGCATTGCAGGCAACAATTTGAGAATTCAAAAGCCCTAAGTCACATAAGACTAAGGTCTTAGCTAAGACCTATTTAAAGGGAAAACCTATAAAATTTCCTATTAAATAGGCTAAGACCTATTTAATGGGAAAAACATGCTCTGCAAAAAAAAAAAGCAAGAATCTAAAATTGTTACTGTATGATCCCATTTCTACAAAAATCTAAGACCTACAAATAGGTCTTAGCCTATTTAAAGAATAGGAGAGAGAACCCTGTGGCTTAAACACAATGGGAATATATTTAATTGGAAAAAGTTATTCTGACAAAAGTCTGGTATGCAGATTATATAAAGAACTCTACAACTCAAAAATAATAAGAGAAACAACCTAATTAAGAATGGATGACATTTGAACAGACACTTCACAAAGGATATATGAAAGGTCAATAAACACATAAAAAGATTCTCTGCATCATTAGCCATCAAGAAAATGCAAATTGAAAATGCAATGATGTACTACTATATGCCCGTGACCAAAATTTGAAAGACTGATAACATCATGCGTGCAACATGCAGGACTGGAACCTTCATATATTGCTAGTCTAAATATAACCATGTTAGAAAAGAGTGGTAGTTTCTTTAAAAATTATATGTAACTTAATAATAAAAAATTCTTTATAAAATATTCTTACCATACCCAGAAGTTTCACTGTTATTTATCCAGGAGTGAAAGTGTCCACACAAAGGTTTACACGTAAATATTTATAACAAATTTACTCATGATAGCCCAAAATGAAACCCAGTGCCCAACTGTGGTAAATTCATACAATGAAATGTTACCCAGTAATATAAAAGAATGAACCACCAATACCTGCAACAATACTTGAAACATGGATGAATGGGAAAAACATACTCAGCAAAATAAAAAAACAAGAATCTAAAATTGTTACTGTATGATCCCATTTCTACAAAATTCTGGAAATTACAAATTTATTCTAGAGTGACTAGAAGTAAATCAGTGGTTGCTAGGGATGAGGGAGTGAAAGACAATGGAAAGAACCCCAAGGGAGCCTCAGCAGTCAAACCAGTGTTCCATATCTTGATGTGGTATTAGTTATCAGGGAGTATGAATTTGTCAAAATTTATCAATTTATGCACTTTAAGAGTATCTTTGAAAGACTATAAATTAAAATAAAATTCAGTGGCCCTGGTTGGTGTGGCTCACTGGTTTGAGTGCCAACCTGTGAACCAAAGGGTCACTGGTTCGATTCCTAGTCAGGGCACATGCCTGGTTTGCAGGCCACCTCCCCAGCAGGGTGCACGCAGGAGGCAACCACACACTGATGTTTCTCCTCCTCTTTTTCTCCCTCCTTTTCCCTCTCTAAATAAATAAAATCTTTAAAAAATATTTACAAAAAATTAAGTAAATTGAAAATAGACAACAAAAAACTTGTCTCAGTTTATAGCAGCTTGTTTGTAAGTGTCAAAAGCTGGAACCCCCCCCCCACAAATATTCATCAAGTGAATGGATAAATTGTATATCCATACAATGGACGACAACTTGGCAGTAAAAAGGACCAGCTGTTACTACATGCAATAACATGGATGAGTCTCAAAATAATGACACCGAATGAAAAAAGCCAGATATAAAAATAGTACATGCTGTATGGTTACACTCATATAAAATTAATCTATAGTGACAGCAGACCAGTGGTATGGTAAGGGGTGTGGGGTAGAAGGGGGGATTACCAAGGAGCACAAGGAAACTTTGGGGTAATATGTTCTATCTTAACTGTGGTAATGATTTCATGGATGTATACATATCAAATGTATCAAATTGTACACTTTAAAAATGTATGTTATACATGTCAATTATATTTCTAAAGCTGTTTAAAAAATCACAACAGGCCAACACATCTGTATTAGACTAGCTGGAATACAAGGAAAATGGACAGCACTGTGCTGGTGAGAGCGTAAGTGGTTCTTGTGCCTTGTTGGGGATGCACAACTGTACAGCCATTTTGGAAAAGTTTGGCAGTTTCTTAAAAAAATTAAACACCCACTTACCCCACAGCAGCAACCCCACTCCAAGGGATATAAACATGTTCATAAAATCTGTACACAAATGTTTATAGAATTTTCGTTCGAAGTCAAAAACTGGAAATAATCCAATCTTTCAACTGGTAGATGGATAAACAAATTGTGGTATATCCAGCATTAGTAACAGTATACTGACTCAGCATTAAAGGGAATGAACTCAGTGACAGGGATGAAACTCAAAAGCATTATGCTAAAGGAAAGAAGTTGCATTCAAAAGGCTATATATACTGTCCAATTCTACTTATGGCATTCTAGAAAAGGCCAAACTAGAGGGACATAAAACAGATTAGTTGTTGCCGGGGTAAGGTTGGTGGGAGCAGTTGGTTACAAAGTGACATGAGGAAATTTTCTGGTGTGATGAGACTACTCTTAAATGTAGTTACAAAACTGCATGTGTTTGTCGAATTTTACTGTTATTCAAAAAGTCATCTCAGAGGTAAAGATGTTCCTTATACCTATAGCTGCAGAATAGAAATCATTATGTACCATAACATTAATTTAAAAACTGATCTGATGAAGGGTTAACTGAGAACTTTCATAATATCAACCTTGTTCTCCTCTGCAACACATAGACCTGCATAAATATGTATGACTGTTATCATCTATTAAAGTGAATCTAACCTTGGAAGTCATATTTGAACAAATGGATCATGGAAGACACCCAGACTCTAAAAACTATCCCCATGCCAGGTGAAAATAATTCATACTTCTTGAAAACTATTACCTGGGATGTAACTGACATTTCTGTATTCCTAAAAGGTACAGATATTTGCAGAATCTCAACGTCAAATTGGGAACAGCTCTCGTTTTTCCAGCTCTCGTATGCATGGTAGAACAATTAAAATTATGACTGCAGATTTATTAACAAATACTCTAGAAAACAGAGCCTGAAGCAAGTATTAGAGTGCTGGTGTTTTATTTGGGTGGTGAGGGTGAGGAAAAAAGAAAGTGAAGCGAGGAAAGATGTAAAGTATGACACAATAGATTACCTCACTGGCAGATTTCACAATGAGGCAGAGCCAGCACACACAGCTCATTTGGCCTGTGTGTTCACTCAGCAGGCTGGACTTTCTCTGGAAGGGCTGAAAGAGAAAACCATGCCTGAGTGGTCTACAGAAGGGGGAAAGGAAGGGAATTAGCCTGCCAGGCTCCTGCTGTCTTTTGTGTTCCATTAATTAAGGCTCCCCACCCTGGGAACTGACTCTTGCACTTCTGATTATCTCACCCTTCAGTAGCAGCTCAGAAAGCCAGATCCTGTGGCCTGTAGTGTGACATTTCCCCTGTCTCTAAAGTGGAAGGGTGACAGAGGCCAGAGGGCTTGATGTGGGCACTATAAGGGCCACACAGGTCCAGTGTAAACCGGAGTTCTAGTCAGGCTGGGGAGCAATAAGTTTTGCTGGCAAGGCAAAAAAGACGACAGTGGTCCAGGTGCAGAAGATGCCTGCAGGAAGGAGGAGGGGGTTGAAACACTGCAGGAGTGTTTGTGGCTGACACTGTAGGACCAAATCATGACTTAGGGGACTCAATGGCCTACACTCCCAGGAAATGATGCATAAAAACCAAGCTTACCAGACTGAAGATAAATTGAAAACCCAATTTTATTGGCTCATTTTCAGTCTCATTACACTGGCTGTATTGATCTCATGCCTATTCTCTACTCCCTACCCAAAATGATAGTTTACAGATTGAAAACTCACAAGAGAATGACAGGAATGACAACGGATAGATGAGAGAGAACAGTAAAATTATCAAAGATGGGTAACAGTCAGAATGGAGAAAAATAAAACCTAAATGTGTACAGCAAGGGGAAAGTAAAACACGAGCCGAGCAATCACCTTATTACAAATCTACCACAGCATGGCCAAGGTTTCCATCCACTTTGAGTGCCTCAATCAGAAGAAAGAAAGATGGTACAGATGATCAGACATCTCAAGAACATCTCCAATATGAGAGACAGGCATCAACAAACAAGAAAAAAAGAAAACAGCTGGTGCAGGTAACAGAAAAATCTAAAAATAATTGACATTACAGAGAAAAAAATAATACATTCATTAAAAAGAGAATCAGTTCACAAATGTGTTCCTACAGTATGTACATCATTGGCCTTGTATATCTTTCCTAAAAAAAAAAAATTAGTTGAACTTCAAAGAATTTTCAGAATATGCAAAATTAATAAAATTATCTGATGTTTTAAAAATATTTATTTTCAGAGAGAGGGAGGGAGGGAGAAAGAGGGGGAGAGAAACATCAATGTGTGGTTGCCTCTCGTGCACCCTCTACTGGATACCTGGCCAGCAACCCTGGCATGTGCCCTGACTGGGAATTGAAATAGTGACCCTTTGGTTCCCAGAGTGGCACTCAACCACTGAGCCACTCCAGCCAGGGCTAATTTTCTAATATTTTAAAGAGTGAAGTAACTGAAAAAATGCCATTTGAAAAATAAGAGCTAGCTTTTAGAAATGAACAACAGTAGAAAAAATATATGTAGCAGAAAATTTAAATAACATACTTCTAATCAATAGAAGGATAGAAAAGTAAAGCAAGGAAATTCTGTTTTTTAAAAAAAGCAAAAAGGTTAAAATGGAAAATTTAAAAAATTATCATAGAGGTACATTTCAGAAAATCCAACATTCAACTAGAAGTTCCTGAAAAAGAAAATAGCATCAAGTGAAAAGAAAATTTCTGAGATGAGTATAAGGGACTAGACTGAAAGGGTTCACTAAGTATCTAACATCACAATGATTCCTGCACTAAAATGTATCGTGAAATGTCAGGACATTTGAGATAAAGAAGATCCTAAAGCTTTCAGAGAGAAAAATTACAGGTCCCTAGATAAAAGCTTTGGAACCAGAATAGCACAGCAGTGAATGTGGAAAAACAATGAGTAAATACATTTAAAAGTGTCTACCTTCAATTAAATAGCCTACCAAATTATTAGAGCAGTGAAAGAATAAAATAAGACATGCAAAAGTCTCAAAAATTGATAGCCTATTAACCCACCTTGGGAGTCTACAGGATATAATCTAGCCAACAGGGAAGTAAACCATGAGAGCAATAGCTATGGGGCCCAGAGAATAGAGGTGAGCAGAAGAAATGACCAGGCTGAAGGTTAGTAAGAAACCCCAGAACCAGAGCTATGCCCCAGGTGTAGAGATGTGCTCAAGTTATAGTCGTCCTAACTCCCAGGACCTCAGAACTTGACCATACATCGAGATGGGTCTTTAAAGAGAAAGTAAGTGTAAATGAGGTCATAAGGGTGGGTACTAATCCGGTGTGAATGGAAATATGAACACAGACAGATGCAGAGGGAAGACCACATGAAGACAAAGGGAGAAGGTGGCCATTTATAAACAATGAAGGGCTTCAGAAGAAACCAACCATGCTGGCAGTCCGTGGAACTTTGTTATGGCAGCTGTGGCAAACTAATGTTTAACACCCAGCCTGAAACAGGTCAGGATTCCAGGAAAGATTTCAAATAAAAAAGAATCTAATGTGTTCATCCTATTCACATTTAAGAGAAATGTTACACACAGTGCTGGCAGAGATCTGGGGGATGGATTAGTGGTTAAGTCCACAGGAAAAGAGGCAAACAAATGAGGCAAGAACGAGGGGGACAAAAATGGCCTAAGAAAGGAAATGTAACAATGGTATACCAGGGCTCAGAGTGAATGGTGCTCACTCTGAACTCAGTATACTGGTTTCAGTGAAAGCTGGGAAATAACTACACTGCAAAGTTGAGGTTAACAGAAGTGTGCATGTGGGTACATGATGTGAAAAGCTAAATTCTTGTCTTCCACGGTAAGAAGTTAGTAGATAGCACCACAAATTGAAAAATCAAGAAGTGGCAATACAAGTACAGTATTTAAATAAAGCAGCAAATATTAGGAGAGAACACAAAAACACTTAGTGACTGCCTTTGGGGAGTGATAATTGGGTATGGCGGGGTGGGGGCTAGGGACTATTCTTTGTCAGGCTAATCTTAGTAGAACTATTTGAATTTTAAAATACTCACTTTTTAAAAAATAAAAATAAATTTTTAAAGTTTAAATAGGACACTAAAGACCTTTTAAAAAGGGAGTTGCTGGTCCCTTTAGCTAGAAAACGTTCAATGGTGTAGTACAAGTCGAAGCCAGAGCTATGGAGTATAGAAGAGTAAATGACACACGAGAGAGCAAATGGAACCTAGTTTTTAACAAGCCACACTGATAACTAAAACAGAAGTGGATGGGGACAGGGGGGCAATAGGGTAAAGAAAGGTCTTCTGAAGGTGGCAGTGTTCGGATGACGGCCCTTCTGCTGGCAATGTCCTCCTGAGAAACTCCTTGCCAAAAAAACTGCTCAGAGCTGTTAGTCTGGCTGGACTGCCGTCACTGCCCCGCTTGTTCTTTTTTGTCACACCAGTTATCTTCCTCCAATTTCTTCCCCAGGGAGCCTTCTTGAGTATCCTGGGGAATAATTCCCCAGAACCAGCCTCTTCGCAACAGCCCTTGTATCTCTGTTAAATGTGGCAGGCAAAGAAAAACCCTTATGAGCCATCATTTAGATGAAGGATTAGCAACTTGAGACACAGGGAGTAATTGAGCTGAAAATTTCCTTAAGGTCAGGTTCAACATGTCCTTCACATGTAAAAGAGAACAGATGAAATAACTATCACATTTGGTAAAAGACACTCTGATACAAATGTTCAAAATAAGAGGCTTTGAAAAATGAAGCCAATATTCATAAAATATCTACCCAGGCTTTGATGACATGAAGGTGTGACACTTTCTTAAGCAACAGTTTTTGCCTTCTCTGCAACTAAAAATAATCAACACCCCCCAGTGATCCACCTGTGTGATCTAGAGGTACAGCAGCAAAAGAGACAACTTAGAAAAGTCAAAGTCAGAGCACTGCTCCACTGTGAGAGGCAAGTGGAGAGAAACCCCAGTAAGTTATGTTCAACAGAAAAGAACAAACATAAGGAGCCACACAAGTCTTCCCAATATCCCAGGCTTTAAATGTTGTGTCCTATTCTGTTCATTAAGCAACCTTTACAGTCTGTAAAAGTTTTCAAGTTTTCTGAGTAATTTCACAGTTTGTAACAATCACCCTGTCAGGTAAATTAACCAGCATTCTGGTTTATCAGTCTCTTGCCCAGTTGATAATCCCTAAAAGCTCGTCCATTCCTGTTTAGACGGCATACATGACAACTCAGTGACAGGAAGTTGGTCAAACCCCACAGAAGACTGCCAAAGAAAGAAATGCCTAATCGCAAAATACCACCACTAACTTGCAAATAGTGATTAGGTTCCAAAGAGATTGTTTCCTAGGTATATTTCAACAGAAATCTTGAACAGTTAGGGAAAAAAAGAAACCTTAATGATTGGGTCAAAAACAGAAAAAGACAAAATAGAACATAACTAAAAATTTCTGTATGCACACATCACAAGTTCAGTCAAAAGGAAATACATAGAAAAGATAGCATTTTTAAAAATTAGGTACATGGGATATTCTTTATTATTTTTTCAGTTCTAAAATAACATTTTCTTTTAAAAAATTTTAAGACTGGAACAACACATTAATTCATCCAGTATTTCAAATACTGCAAATTTATCAGCAAAGAGTCAAGTATTAATATAATTTTTCCTTAAGTTTGAACTTAAGGGAGGAAAAATAGATTATAAACCTCGTTTGACCCGATCTTAGAGTCATTCCAGCTGTCTTCAGTCCTGAGGTCTCCAGATAGATTTTCAGGGTTGGCTGGTGTCACTCAGTCCATCCATAATAGGCTGGATAGGAAAACCCATAGTAACTGCCAGGACACCACCTTTTGTTCTGGACCACATGATTGGCGTCCGGCCTTACGCTCCAAGAGAATCTCCTCCGTGAACAGTCCTCTCCAGGGGGGCCAGGAGGAGGGTTACGATGTCTCTGGTAAAAGCTTTGATTCTGTGAAAAGTTTCTTAAAACAAAAAGTAATAAACCATTATTAGTTTTTTAAATATATATATTTTTAAAGATTTCTTATTTTTTTAAGATTTTATTTATTTATTTTTAGAGAGAAAAGGGAGGGAGAAAGAGAGAGACAGAAATATCAATGTGCAGTTGCTGGGGGCCGTGGCCTGCAACCCAGGCATGTGCCCTGACTGGGAATCGAACCTGCAACACTTTGGTTCACAGCCCGCGCTCAATCCACTGAGCTACGCCAGCCAAGGCTAAACCATTATTAGTTTTAAAAAGATATATAATAAGCTTTGGAAATAACACATAAATACACTGGTTCTAATGTTCTCTACCTGTATGACCTTAGCACATAAATTACCTAAATCTTTGGATTTCTTTTTTCTTTATAAAATAGAGCTAATAACACCTTCCATCTTCATGAGTTGTTCTGAAGTAAAGTAAGACAATACAGATAAATTACCTACCATAATGTCTCAGCACACAGTAGATTCCCAGCAGCCTTTCTCTCCTTCCCTACAGAGGTAAATGCCCATACTATTCTAATCAGATACTTTCCTTCCAAGTCTGGCAGACTGACATGAGAGAGAATAAGCTATTTATTCCTGACAACATAAAGCTGCTTTCATTTTATAAATAAATATGTATGCATATATTAATTATAAAGTATAGAAATTCTAAAAATAGTATATGCAAATTTGGAAAATTAAGATTGTAAGCAAGATCAGTAAATCTAATATAATCATACAAAAGAAAATTTGAAATCAGAAAAGAAAAATTAACCTAATCCTCTCTCAATCCTACCTAATCTAATTAGACTGGTTAATATTTTCTTTTTGCTCTTCTCCTCCAGCATCTTTTTTTTTTGAAACTGTTAAATCATAACAGACTATTTTTACTTATCCTAAGTGAGCTATCAGTTTCAATGGCTTTATAAAATGTCATAGTATGGACATACTTTACCCGACTATTCTTCACTGTTAGAAATGGAAGCCGCTGTCTACTTTTTCACTGCTATAAATAACGCTGGGCCTGACATCTCCCAATATCCTACTGTACCCTGAGCACCTACTCAAATGTCTGATATCTAGGAGAAAGGTTTTAGAGATGTGCTGATTAAATGAATATAACTCTTTCCATATTTTAAAGTATTTCCTTACTCAATGTGGAATCAACAGGTATGTGCATTTTGTATGGAATTCAAGTTATCTTTGCAAAGGATGATACAAATTTTCAATGCTATTGGCAACACAAGTAACACTTTAAAAAAAGATTTACATCTTCTAAAAATGCTAACATCTCTTTGAAAGTGTTTATAATGTGCTCAAAATACTTTTTTAGTTCATGTAATAGTCTACGTCAATCCCTGTGAGGTAGGTTTTATTAAAATTGTCATTGGAATAATGAAAAATTAGAAATTTAGAAATCTTACCCATGATCATATAGCAAGTGAAGGGCAGAACCAGGATGCAAATCCACATCCGGCCTAACAACCATATTGCACTGCTTTATTGGAAACTGTTAAGTTAATAGGTAAAGCACAGAACCTTGCTATTTTAAGTGTACTGAGGGTTTTTTCATTTCCCAAGTAAAAAGTCTCTTTTGATTTGTTCAAACCCTTTGCAAATTCCTCTATTGGAATTTTTACTATTTCCCCTATAATTTGTACCTACTCTTTAAATGAACTTTCCTTATTCTGAAAACTATACCACTTTGAACGTAGCCAAAGAATGCAAGACCATTTTCGGTAGTCATATCAAGTTGCTGGCTGAAACTAAGTTTATAAACAATGAAAATTTCTAAGTCCCTTTCTTAGTTGCCTCTGAAAAGTCACATATTTCCCATCCTACACCTGATTTTCCAGCCCTAAGGGCAAAATATGAAGAAACGATACCTTGCAGTTGGCACTGACCAACCAGAAAATGTCAATTCCTCACCATTATCATAGCGTGTTGACACTAAGTTATCACACTATTCACCTCTCTTTCAATTCTAGACAAGAGGGAAAGTAGACATACCTTGCTGACTGCTGCACATCTGGGGCCTGGGTGTGGAAATGCCAAGAAGGTGTTGGGTAACCTTGGGTCCAACGTCTGTTATTCCCAGGTCCTTGGTGAACAGCTTTATTAGTGGTGTGGAGTGTTTCCACTGTATATGTTGAGTAGTCACAACCCCTTGATCTGGATACACTGGGTTCCCGATCCCTTAAAGAGAATGATTTTTACACACGGTATTACTGGTTTCCAAATTCAGTAGCCAATTTACTGCCTATATTTTGGCCAACGAAAATAGCAACCCCATTCTCCCTCCATTCCTATTTGTTTAGGTTTCCCTGAGCAAGTAAACAAGTGACAAGAAGAATGGCTATATGTAACTTAAATGACATAAAAACAGATCTCCCTAACCACAAACTTCACATGTAAAATGCAACTCACCTGATGGGACCATTCTGAAGGTCTTCGAGGTAGTTTTGCCTTTCTATGCAATGTCCTCGGCATCGATTGAATACTAAGGAGTGGAAGAACTGTCAAAAATAGCTGCACAAAAAGCAAATCTTTTCCAGAGAAAGCAGATCAGAGCTGAAATCCATTCACTAATCATTCAGGGTGTTATATCTCAATATTTCCAGATACATCCCTGTATAAACTTTTGGCAAAAGATTATCTTAGGTCACAATGAATGAATTACAAACTTTTCTCTTTTTCCAAAATTCAAAAAGTTCATCCACATTTCCACCTTCCACTTTTATAAAAAGGAAAAACAGCGATAACCCTCATACTCACATTCAATTGCATCATCTGGCCTCATGCCTTCTACATCAATCAAATATCTAACAAAACAACATAAAAATCAAGTTTATTGCAGAAAAGTTCCAATGGCACTTACAGATATAGATATAAACATCCTAAGGAAATATTGCACATCTAATCCAGTAATTATTAAAGAATGACACACCATGACCACAAAAAGCCTTATGCTAAGGATGTAGGGGTGAACCACCTTTAGAAAATCTATTAATAAAATGACTTACATTAATACAACAATTTAATTAATAAAAGAGTAGAAAACACAGAACCAACTCGCCAGGTGTTAAAAAGATGTTGATAAAATACAAGTAATTTTTAAATAAAATATGATGAGTATTTATCAGAAATCAATAGCAAAAAACAAGTTGGGGAAATATTGATATCATATCTCAAAAATGAGATACTATGAACCGACTGCATGGGCAAGAAACTTAGCATTCTCCATCACTGCCAGCCATTTCTTCCTTACCCTCCTTTTCATCCCACCACCAGCCCTAGCAGTGATATCACATATATACTCTGGAGTGTGTCCACACCTTCCCGCCAAAATGACCTGCACACCCTGGATCAAGCCACCATTATGCCTCGACTCCTAGAAAAGCCTCACTTGTCTACTTGCTTCCACTCTGTGCCCCTGCAGTGCAAACTGATTATCCTCTACACTAACTCACCCTCAATGAAGAGAGTTAAACAGTTTTCTACTGCTCTTAAGTTAAAACGTAAAACATTCAACACAGGCCTGCATGACCTTGTTTCATTTTGACGCCATTCTTCCTCCACGGCCCAGCCTCCCTAGCCAGGTCTTCCAGCACAGCACATGCTTTCCCGTTATAGGGCCTGTCTTGCTCCTTGTGCCCAGGATTCTCTACCCCATGTCCCTACCTTGTTAATACCTACTTTCCCTTAGATATCAGATCGACTCTCCCCAAGAAAACCTTCTCTGATCTCCATGATGAGGTCAAGTCCTCCCAATTGATATGTTCTCTTAATACCATGTCCCTCTCCTTCTGGGCACCTGTTCAAGTTGTAATTTAAATGCGAGTATGTGATCAATTGCTGGAATTATGAGTAATTGCTGGAATTACTTTCTAAATTGCTGGATCCTCAAAGGGCAGGTCACGTCTCTCTGCTCACAGTCTCACAAGTCTCTTTGCTAGCACCCAGGATAGTGCTTACACATAACAGATGCTAAATACGTATTTTCTGAATAAACAAACACACATCAGTACATTGTAGCAACATCCACAAGAAAGCATAAGGACAAACTTTTTGATTCAAAAAATTCCATCCTCAGTGAAATTCTCTCTCAGACAACAGCATATATATCCAAAGATGTACTCAGAGGAATGTTTATTATTTCAACATTTTATAACTTTAACCTTCTGATTTTTATGTACATCAGTAAGGGAAAGAAAAATGCAGCCTTTTAAAGGAATGAGGTCTCCAAATACTTTCAAAGGAAGATGCCCATCATATATTAAAATGTAAAATAAAACTATAAAACAGAATGTCTGAATATTACACCATTAAATTACATGTATATGCTTATATCTGCAGTTTTAAAGTCTGACAAAACATGTAGTCAATTATTACTGCTGGCAATCCTGGGTGGGAGGCAACACTGCTTTCTGCTTCATATATTTCTATACTAATTGCATTTTTGCAATTAGTTTGTATTGCTACTTAAAACAACTCAGGCATGGTTTGCCTCTTGGGGTTGGCAACTCACCTGCAGATGAGGTAGCCAGTCCTGTTTAAACCATGGGTACAGTGGACACCAATAAGTCGGTCTATGAAACAGGGAATGTAGAGTTAAATAAATGAAGTCAATGCCCTAAAAACAAGTCATACACTTTTCTGAGGAGTAACATGTATTAGTTACCACAGCAGTACCACTATCTGAAAAGAAATAATACCTGAGGAAAAATGGGGTTTTTAAGTAACATACTATAAGGAATGATGTAATATAAAGTCAAAACTCACCATCTCTGGGAACTTGTGCATAGTCCCAGTTAGACACAACAGTGTAACATGGGGAAGGCCAAGCACTTACAGCAAACTCCACTGAGAAAACTCCTTTTCTCTTAACTTACAGGGTCTGGCCCAAATAATGCCCCTTTTTATTACAAAATCATAAGGACGAAATTCTGTAACATAACAATACCAACTCAAGGACACCATGTGACATTTTTTAAGTGAAATGTTCAAATTGCTGCCCATCTCATACAAGACATTCAGCTACCTGACCAACACACTCACGCAGGCTCTGTAGGACCCTGTAGAATGCTCATCAGTAACAGATCAGTTATAGAAAAGGGGAGTTAAAGAAAAACAGGCTATGAGGGGAGTGAAATTTGTTTGAGTGAAACAAATGGAATGCCTTCACTTTTAACACTGATTATAAAAAAGGACAGTTTCAGCAGTGCTATTCCAAGGCACGTCCACTCCCCCATTTGTTGTTCCTCATCCATCACAGGCCTATGTGCCCTGTGAAGTCTGCTTGTAGTTTACAGTGAAAAAGCTAGACTTGGAGACGTAAGCCTGGGCTACACAGCGGGAAAATAGAACCAACATGAGAATCGTGTCTAAGGTTTTCCCAACTATGCCACAGGATGTCTCAGTCCTTCTTTTAAAAACACTCTGTGAGAAATTAAATAAATAACAACGTGTAACTGATCCCTGCACAATGTATGCCCGTGACTAGGTGCTGCTGTCTGGTAGGAGGGTGCTCATCATCTCCCACCTGCATTACTACCGCCCTACTTCTCACCTCTTCTATTTCAATGCAGCCGCCATGTGGAAGATGCTCTTTCTAAAATATACACTTGCCTGGGTTGTTCCCTTGCTGAAAAATCTTCATTTTGCATTGAATAAAGCCCAAATATTTAGGATAGCATTTAGAACTCTTAATAAAAGAAGAGCAATGTCTGTCTAACTGTAAGTCCACAATGATCTGAACTGTGACCTACAAGGACTTGCCACATGGTCCACCTCGCTCCCACCCCATGCCGACCTCACTCACTCTCCCCACTCCAGCTGCACTGGCCTCCTCACTGTTGCTCAAACATGCTGATGTCGTGACAGTCATGCCTCAGGGACTTTACACCTACTGTCCTCTCTCCTTAGAATACTACCCAGCACACTGTCTTCCCCAGATACCCAATGACGTGGTTCTTCCCTTCCATTAAGGCACTGCTAAATGATATCTTCCTAGAGGGGCCTTTACTGATCACCCACCACGTTCCCTCACCTCCTTATTGTTTTCTTATTCTACGAAGCACTATCACCACCTGACATTCTGTATATTCACTTTTTATCTCTCTCCCCCCAACTAGAATGTGAACTACATAACAGCAAAAACTTTCTTCTGTTCCTACTTCCTAGATCAGTGTCCTCACCTTCGAAGGTGTTATATATAAACAGTCATGGAATATGAACATAAAAATTATGCCCTTTCACTCTACCCTCTAGTGGCACTAGAGCCTGCTTCTCCATGACACAGATTCAAGCCCTGTAGGATCTGGACCATTTCTAACACCTGAGCTGTCCTCTCCTCTTTCTGGCCAAACCCTCCTCCCCGCAGCCTATCTCAAACATTGACTCCTCAGAAAGGCCTTCCTCCATCTCTCTATATTCTCCGTGCATGTAATTTATTCTCTTATTATAATTAACTCAGTGACTAATACTTCCTGCATGTTTAACTTCCTAGATAACTGTGAATTTCTAATGAACAAAGACTGCTACTCACCTCTAAATCCCTGTACTCTAACAATAAACCCAAAAGACTGTCAAGTGTTTACTGAATCAATTTATTTTCTGAGACTATCAGTTCTAGGGGAAGGATTTTGTAAGGCCTCCTCTTCATCAGTGAGCCTGGAATCTGTGCAGGAACTCACAGCAGAGGTAGCCAAATGGATCATAAGCCAGGTCCTGAGACCACCATGGCAAGGAATGCTGCCAGACACAGTGAAGTCAGCATAACACAAGCAGGAGACCAACATCGAATCAACTATGCAGCGGAGTACACTTGGGGTAGCATGTGAAGAACCAATACTTACAAACATGTTCTCATGCACCCCCGTGGATCTTCTGTCCCTCCCGGAAACAGATGGGACACTGCATAACAGTTCCACACAAAGGAGCCTGTAGACTCCGTGGTTATCACAGGCAAAGTCTAGCCTCTCACACCTTAAAGTACTAGAGAGATCTGTGACCAGGGCTCAGATATTTAGGAACTAGTGCCTACATTAAGTGACCAGGTAACAGCTTGAACATTTATCTCAAAAACCACTGATTCCATCTCTCTTTCCTTCCATCCCCTATCCTCCCACATCTGTCTCTATTCTTTCTCCCTTACTCTCTGCTTCTTTACATTTAAACTTATATTTGTATGTCAAATTTACTTAAGTATACACTCCCTAAGCTAAATGTATAAAGAGAACAAAATGAACACTTGTTCCTGTGAATGTGTGGCTTTCCAAAGAAAAAATTCCTCAGTCTTAAAATGTGGCAAACATCATGTTCCTTCTGATAGCCAGATGCCAGAAAAAGGCAATGGATTCTTTAAATGCATAAGCTATTAAGGTCTGTTTTCAAACAGAGTCAAGTAGATCTTAAAGCAGAAACAAGCAAACACTGGCCTACTTTAGTTCTTCCTATTGAAAACTAAGAATAACAGGTGGTTGTGACCTTCCTCACTTGTACCCAGAGTGGAAAAACAACAGAAATGTTTCAAATACAAATGATGAAGACACAACTTCACTGGTCCACTCCGTTTTCTTCTGCTTTTAGAGGTCTGTCTCACCTCAAACCTTTGCCTCCTTTTTCTTTTTTTACACACTCCAAAACACTGAGATTCTATCTCTTTCATCCACCCACCAATCACCTCTTAACCAGTAAGACAACAGAACGTTTTTATATTATATATTCCCCATGCATGTATTTGGAAGAGAGATGAGCTAGTTCAATTCATATTTATCACTAAACTCACATTACAAACTAAGGTGCTTATTTGTAACCATAACAGGACAAACATCTTACTCTATCACCACCCTCTGACATGCCCACATCATCAAATATAACAGGATTAAGGCAGGAGCTATTAAAAATATTAAAAATTCGCAACCCCACTCAAAATGCATAACAAAGTTCAAGTAAGGAAAGGAACAACTCACCATTATCTTTGTTTTCTTTCAAAAACCCATTAACGGCACATTTAAATTTAAAAATAGTGTTATCATCAGGCACCTGATGCCCAACTGTATAAATTTTTAAGTAAGGAATAGTTTCCGGTAAGTCCTAAAAGGCAAGACCATGAAAATGTATGTTACTTCATTTGCAGGGAAAGAATTAAAAGTTAATTACAAGAGCCAGAATAGAGATTATAATAAACTTAGTATGTCAGTAATTCTGATAAAAAAGCCATTTTGTCCAAAGCTGCTTCAACTAAGAAGTATCACCAGATTTGCGTTAAAACCGCAGAATGGATAGTCAGTAGGTAAACACAACTGAAAGCAAAATGTGTGTGAATGAATGCATGTAGAACTAAAAACTGCATAAACAATCCCACCTAGTATTTTATATTTCAAGGGCAACAGAGTCAGAAGAACTTGGACAGAGCAAATTTCAGGCACTGTTGAGAGCTAGTACTCTTGGGGTGGGAAAGAGTAGATATTGCCAAAGCCAGAACAAGTTAAATAAAATCCTGTAGTTCTGAATTCAACAGAAAAGCATCAGTATGAACCTATGATGTATTCACATGAAAAACAAACATACAAACACACTTCCTAATTGTTACCCCTGAAGAAGTATAGGAACCACTGAGGTCACATCATGTCCAGAGGACTTGGGAGCCAAATGGAGAAGTTCCAACTGGCCAGAGATAGGACATTGATTTGTGCCTCAATAAGAATAGTAACTGCAATGAAATCCCTGACAATACAAAAATAAATAAATAAATAAATAAATAAATAAAGTACAATCAAACTGGTCATCACTGGAGGATTTAGTGAATTAACTCATTATTTTGAAAACTATTATGAAAGGAAAGAATCATGCCTCTACAGCTGGGCAACCAAATACCTGATGAGCTTCTTTTCACAGAAATATAACCAGCTAATGTGCGCCAGCTGGTGTAGCTCAGCGGACTGAGTGCTGGCCTGCAAAGCAAGGGGTTGCTAGTTCGATTCCCAGTCAGGGCACATGCCTGGGTTGTGGGCCAGGCCCCCAGTAGGGGGTGTGGGAGAGGTAACCACACAATGATGTCTCTTTCCCTCTCTTTCTCCCTCCCCTCTCCTCTAAAAATAAATAAATAAAATCTTTAAAAAAAAAGAAAAAGAACAAAATATACCCAGCTAATAAATGAAAAAAGAGTAGTAGAGTTCACCATTTTTGAAGCCCCAAAATAATTCTGGATGTAGGTATCAGTCATCAGTGACTGCTCACATTACAGAAAGAGGCTATCACTTACATGTCTCCATGGAGGAATACTCATAACCTATGAAACTGTCTTGAAAAAACAAAACCCCAAGCCTGAATGTGATCAAGCCTCTGGGACAATTACCAATTTAAAATACAAGTCCTAAAGAATATGGTTACAACACATGGGGGTGCAATCATCAAAATTATATGGGACAAACTACATAGTTTCTTAAAAAGTGAAATTCAAGGGGAGAAATAAAAGAAAGTGAGATACATGGTGGGAGAAACTATAGATTAAAGACTTCAGACTGTAACAATCAAATGCAAAGTGTGGATCTTATCTGGGTCTAATTCAAACTCTTTACAAATGTTTCTTTTCATGAGATTTAGAAGACAACTACAAATCTGCATGCTGACTGGATATTTAATATTAAAAAGTTATATTAAGGAATAGAGTCTTATATTTTAAATACACATGACAAAAATGTACAGGTACAATGATATCTGGAATCTACTTCAAAATAATACAGAATGAGTTGGAACAGGTTGAAGTGCAAATGAAACCCCATATTGGTTAGTGAATATCACAGCTGGATGAGTTTATGGGTGGACAACAAACACCCAGCACTACATCGCCTTCTGTGTAAGTTTAAAGTTCATGATAATTGTGTAAAAACAAGAGGACACTGTGGAAAACAGTCTGGCAGTTTCTCAAAGGTTAAACACAGAACTACCATATGACCTAACAACTCCACTCCCCCCTGCACATCCAAAAGAACTGAATGCAGGAATTTGAACAACTATTTGTACACCTGCATTCACAGCACCACAATTCACAACAGCCAAGGAACAAAACAGTCCAAGTGGCCATCAACAAAGAGGTAAAATATGGTATACACACACATGGATTATTCATCCATGAAAAGGAATACCATTTGGTTGCATGCTATAACCAGGATGAGCCTTGAAAACATTGTGTTTAGTGAAATAATCCAGACACAGGACAAATGGATGAACACTTACATGAGGTACCTAGAATAGGCAAATTCATAGAGACAAAAAGCAAGAGGTTACTAGGGGCTGAGGGGAGGGGAAATGAAGTCGTTATTATTTAATGGTTCAGTGCTTTTGTTGAGGATGATGTAAGTTTTGGTTATAGACAGGGTGATGGATACACATGATGTGAATGTATATAATGCCACTGAATTGGAAAGTTATGAATGGTTAAAATGATAAATATTATTAATGTGTATTTTAAAATAATAAAAGAGGAACCGAGTTCCTTTTCATTATTCCTATTCTGAGCCTATTTCATCTATAAAATTCCTAATCATGATCATTATTCTCTGAGCTTAGTGAGGAATAAGCACTCAACAGGAGATATCAGTACTACAACTACTTCATCAGCTAGAACTTGTTGTGCAGATTAACTAAGGTATGTCAAAGTACTTTTCTATTTATTTTTTTAAAGATTTTATTTATTTATTTTGAGAAAAATGGGGAGGGAGTGATAGAGGGAAAGAAACATCCATATGTGAGAGAAACATCAATTGGTTGCCTCTCTCATGCCCCCAACTGTGGACCTGGCTCACAATCCAGGCATGTGCCCTTGACCAGGAATCCAACCTGTGACCTTTCAGTTTGCAGGATGATGCCCAACCCACTGAGCCACACCAGTCAGCGCTCAAAGTACCTTTTAAATGGCAAACTGCTACACAAGCATTAACATACATTGGGTATTCTTGTTTCCCATGGGAAAGCATTAACATACATTGGGTATTCTTGTTTCCCATGGGAAAGAATTTCCCATTCTTTCCAACTGACATGCCACATGGGCCAACAGAAAAGATGGGTTTTTGTACGACATGGAAAAATTGTAGGAAAAGAAAGTATACACCTTTGAGAACAACTTTTCTTTTACTATGATGCTTACACATGCGTAGGTAACTTCTTAAAATAAATGTTAATGGCATAATGAATATTCCTCTTTGTGCTATTAGGCTACTACTTATCTCACTAAAAGTTTACTTCGTTTTCAAAATATAGAACACAGAAGCTTACAGAATTTCTTAAGCACATATAGAGCCTACTGCCAAATATTAGACTTTAATTCATGTCTTTACTCTCATTCTGAGACAACAATTGAGAATTGTTTAGTTCAGGAAACCACTTGGTTCCCTTTTTCAACTGTTACCCATGAAAGTAGGCCTGGATTCATCTTAGCCTGTGGTGATAGCTACTAGTTACTGTGAATTATTATAGTATCATAAAGTAGGATTTTTTCCATTAACATTTCCATTTACCTCTGGTTTATAATAGCGGTGAGTATACGTTAAATCAATGATCAGTCCAAGTTCTTCATTCTGTTCTTGGATTTTGTTAAAAAGATCCAAGGGGGAAAAACGTTCTTCTGGAGCAAGTCTTTCTTCAAAACTCTGTAAGAGAGGATGAAATAGGAAACAGACAAGGTATACTTAAAAATCCTTCATTACATGACCCATTTACTCAAGCCCTGTGATGCTGACAGGAGAGGGGCTAAGCAGAGACCCTTGTAAAGCCTCCGGAATCCACTTTTAGTGGTCATAAAGCAGGGACTGGAGCTGTTGGAAAAACTGCATAGAAAGGAGGAAAAATACAGGACAAAATTTACAGTAACTGCAAATGTGGGTGGGGAGTCCGTTTATTCCTTCAACAAAGATTTGTTAAGTATTTATTGTATGTCAAATACTTGCTTGGTATGATGAATGTAAGAACCATGTTATCTTTATACCAAATCTTAATGTCCAGAGATACAGAAGAATTGACACAGTAAGAGAAAAGAAACCCCTACCCATCAGTCACAAATTAAATAAATTAGCAATACACTTAAATTAGGCTTTTACTGATGCTAATCCATGCTATAACAGGCAGTGTAATGAGACATGAAATCTCCTCTCATCTTCTGTATATCGTTCAAATGCTTTCTCCACCTATTCCTTTCTTAGTTAAAAAGCAAAAACAAAAACAAAAACAAAAACAATTTTGAGAATTTCCATGCTGAAACCCCAACCTTGCATTTTTTTGGTTGTGATGGAGGGAGCAAAGGGTCTTCCTGGCATTCAGTAGGTGCAGTCATGGATGCTAGACATTTTGTCAAATCACAACAGTCCTACAAATGTGTCTTATACTTGAATGACTATCGAATATCCTACTCCATGTTCAAAGAGGTGAAAAGACTGTTCATAACTATGTAAACCTTAGAAACTAGCTCCATTTCACAATTAAACACAAAGGTTTTCTTTTTCTCCAGTTTTAATGTACACTGAATTCTCCAGGATAGTAATCACATTAACCAGTGAAGAATGAACTTGATTTTATTTGGAAATCTACCAAGAGCTATTCACTTTCATGGAAACTCCTATCACTAAGGCAATATAACCCACCTAAATCAGTCTGTATTTGCAGTTTTTGCATTCATGGTGCAAGTAACCAACTACTTCTTTATTTCTAGTATAGTCACGCCTAAACATTTACATAGTGAAATGTAAATACACATTACTTTATTATAAATTCTTTTATTTATTCCTTGCATTATACAAGAGGGGCACCCAACCCCCCCACCCCAAATCTCTGGAGAGCAGGTCCCTTGTAGTACAGGCCTCCCACACTAGGGAAGTGTTCAAGGAGCCCATCTACATCAGAGTACCAGCTAGCATTGTTGTGAGAGGCTGTGTTTGGCTCCAGAGAATTTTTTTTGAAGACTGCCACACGTCTGCCCTTTCATGATGGGTGATTTACGAGTGCACTTACCCATATAGTGCTGACCAAGAACAGCACGACCCCTGAGCCCCATCCTCCCTATTCACCTGATCTCGCCCCAAGCAACACTTTTTTTTTTTGTTTCCCCCAGATGGTGAAAGTCATCAAAGGGAAACAGTTTGATGATGTAGAAGAGGTAAAACAAAACACAGCAGAAGCACTAAAAGGCATCCAAATTGACGAGTTATAAAGCTGTTGTGAGTGGTGGAAAAAAGTCTCAATAGGTGTGTTGCATCAAGTGGAGAGTAACTGGAAAGTGACTGAAGTTTAAACATGCAATAATACACATTTTTTATAAATACTGGTTTTTGGGGTCCCCTCTCATAATTAGAGCATCACACTGATTTTTTCCTTTAAAATTGAGTATGGAAGTAGGTTGAAATTCATTTGCAATGAATTTCATTTCGTGGTAGTAAAGGGCCAAATATAAAGCATGTGCTAAAGAGAAAGTGGAGGATGACAGGATTGAGAATCAGTGTTCTACATGGTAAATTCAGATTTCTGAAAGAATAGTGAATTAATTTTTGCTTACCTTTTTCAAAGGAACTTTGAAAGCAATGAAACGAGTCCCAGGCATCCTCTGTCCAACTGGGAGATAGTCCTTCCACCTGTTAATACATTTTTTGTTAGCCAGTCTCCCTGGCACAGACTGAAGACTCCTTGGTCCCTTCTTCTCTTTGCTTTGCATTTTGCTGCTCTACTTATTCAACCCCACCTAGGATGCAATAGTACTCCCTTCTTCCTGCTTCCCCATCTTGAGAACAGATACAAGGCAACAGTGCACAGGTCTCAACAAATGAGGCATAGCTAAGACCAGAGGTGGCCAGAACGTCTGTACCCCTGACAAAACCTAGCCTGGTCCTGAATATTAAGGTGCCATTAATATATACGTGTTGACTGAAATTGTTTCAACTCAATCCTTTCACTTCACACTTTACTTTCAGTCTTCATACAACTGAGCCAGCAAATCCGATCAGTAGGAAACTTTAAGTTCATGAGTTCATATATTAAAAGGAAACCTGATAGAAAAAGAGACTCTGAACATCACCTAATGCTAGGAATCAGAGTGAAAAGGAATACTGACTTCTGTCAGATGACTGGAATGATCCAAGGTTAACTCAGTATATCTGAGGCATAGAGTGTGAGGGTAAAAGTAGCGCAAGTTGGGGCTGAAGAAGTAGAGTGGCTTCTAGACAGTACAGAATCTCAAAGGCCATGGTAAAGACTTTGTGTTTATGCTTGAAACAATATTTCTGAGTGCTGTTTATGACCAATGTTCCAATTTACTTTTTAAAAAAGATTTCTGTGTGAAGAATGGATTAGAAGGAAACAAGAGTAGACAGATATGAATACACTAGTTAGCACCTAACTGCGACAGATCAGGCAGGTTCTGGACTAGGATGCTGACCGATAGAGGCTGAAGGACTCAAACTATTTTCAGGAGATAAAGTGAAAGGGACGTAATGAGATAGATACGACGTGGAGGAAAGGAAGGTCTCAAGGAACAAAAAGCGTTCATTGCACAAATGAGCACAGTTTCAACATTAATCATGTGAACCTACAGAAAAAGATCTTTCAACTGAGACCTGTTTGGAAGCTCCACAGTGTGCCCGTTGTGCTGTTAACTCCACAAACCAACGTTTTTGGCTGAAAGTTCGGCGGCACTGGGGCGTTTTTTTCACTCAAACTTCGTACTTGTTACTCACATTTTCTGTGCCACAAGAACACAGCTTCTGGAATTAAGGGGGACTCTATTTTGGTAATGAATGATACATATCCCCAACACTCACAGTCCCATCTAAGAAGGCAGTCCCTCCCCATTTACCAGAGAAACGATGGCCAGAGCCTCGCTTTGAAAAGTATGGAGAAAAAAATCAGAAAAGCAAAGACCGTCCCTTTCAGCTACTGTGGGCCAGGCAGCGAAAGGATCAGAGTCCCCTGACTGTGTGACGGCCCGAGACAGGGAGAGACTGCAGGAGGCGAAACCCAGACCCCACGAGCTACAAACAGGAAGAGCCACGCCCAGGGTTTAAGGCGCGTTACCTTTCGGGGATATGGTTTCCGCCCTTCTTCTTGGCCTTGGAACGTCCAGAAAACACGCGTCCCGGGCCCCAGCCGCCGCGGGCACGATGCCATTGGCTCATGTGGGCCCCAAGATGCCGCTGAACTAGCACCAAGAGCGCCAAAGTCGCCAGCTCTACGCGATCGGAGCCAAAACAGTATCCCCCACCGGAAGCTTCTATACTGCAACCTACGCAGCTCCACCCCTTACACCGCCTCCTTGCTAATGCGCATGCGCCACCGCCCTTGGTGATGATGTCACCACGCCAGCTGGTTGAAAATTTGATTAGCAAACGGGATTTCGGTGGCTTTGGTGCCCTCCTTAGCCGCGGCTGGTAGCGCAGGTCCTTGAATTCGCATGTGTACCCTTCAAAATCCAAATACTACTGCACATAGACTGAAAGTTTAAGTCTCCCTCCCCCAGGTCCTTCAGTGGTCTTTCCATATATTTTCCAAGTGTTCACATTAACTCTTATGGTATAGTGTATGTAAATATTTATTTGTACAAATGTGGACACCTCTATTTGATATAAAAGCAGCATATATCTTACAATATATCCACAAAAAAATTTTGTAATTTCCTCAGTCAATTTAAATGTGCATACATTCAGTTGTTTTTAATGGTCACATAGTGTTCCACTGATGATAATAAGTCCATAATTTATAAAACCAGTTCTATATTGATGGACTTTTAGATTTATTTTCAGTTTTTTGCCCTCCACTATACACAGGCTGAGATGTGAACATCCCTAATTTAGATATAGGTGTATGCTGAGTTCAGAGTCCTGGACTAACCTTCTTTATGTTCCTCCTTTTACATTTAAGATGCTTTCAGAGGTTAAGATGATGATGAGTATGCAAGCAAAAGTTAAGTGGACAGAGCTATGGATAGAAAAGTTATACAGGCTGTGCACAGGTAGAGACCAAATTAAGAATTTGTTTAGATAGAATTGAATGTTGGAACTGTGTTTAAGGAATAACTGTTTCATGTTCCTAGAATTTATCTCATCACATCTTTCCCTAGTCTTACACCACTCATCCTAAGCTGCAGTAATGATAATCCATAGCTATGAATTCCCTTGATTCCATGGGAACACAGAAAAAGGAGACTGCTCTGGCATATGTTTTTAGCCTCACATTACATACTACTATCGCAAAAGTTGCCCATCTGAGAGGCATGAAGCTTAGGGGGAAGACTTTCAATAAAACTTTTAAGTTTAAGCCACATCTTTGCACTGCCACACCCCTCACAATTTCCTCTCAGATTAGTGTCATAACCCACCTTCAAAAATCTCTTATGTCACAATAGGAAAAGTAGGCCTATAAAAGAAAAATGTCTGTTTGCAGATCCTATCTATGACCTACCATCTCGTGGGCTCTTGGCATCTTGTATCACAAACTTCCTGCACATGGCACTGATGAGTGCCGAGGCAGATTGACCTAGGTACCTCTAAAGACTTACCATAGAAAACAATAACTAGATCCATAGATTTCCTCCCCAAAAGCAGCTTCATCTACAAACAGGGTGAGACAAATGTAGGTTTCTCATTGTGAATATGAAACAGTTAATTCCTGTATTATTATTTATTAATTATTGTATTATTTTCCAAACAAACAACTTTACACCTTCTTTGGCCCCACCCTGTGTAGGTCAGTAGCATGTCAGCCCTCACTCACAGTCACAAGAGTGGTTAGTGTGAGCACCACTAACCAGGGCAAGAGAAATGGAGACAGCCCAGGCCAAGGTGGGCTGATGGCACACATCTCTCCCTTAGGCTTGGCGCACAGCGTAACCCACCACAGTGCCTTTCACACAGACCTCTTTTTAAGTGTCTCCACAATGCCCATCAGGACAAGTTGGTTTGTGATGCTTTAAGTAAAGTCATCAGGAGAAAAACATGCAACATGTCTTACAATGATAGAATCTTTAAAAATTTCACTAGGAAAAAGACATGTGGACAAAAGCAGAGCATTGATACAGGGCATGGATGCAGTCTACGTTCTACAAACATACCAATGAGTGATAAAGATGAGCTGATATGACATGAAACAAAGTGGAAAATACATTTAAGATTATTCTGTCTACTGAACAGAATCCCTGGCAGTTTCTGGAGTACCTAGCACACACATTCTGTTAATGCAAAATGAGGCCACAGCGTGTCAACTCGTTTCTCACAGAAACTGAAAAATCCACATGAATGTCCTTTTCCTGCACACTTTCACCTTGCCTCTTCCCTATTCTCTGTGAATGGCCTTGACTTTCTCTAACTAGTCTGCTCTTCATTTCTGCCTGGCCTTGCACCCAAACATGGCAGACAGAGAATCCTAGAGCCCCAAAATTCTACAGTGGCTGTTTGCAAGGGGGGAGGAGACTACAGTAACTGCCACACTGGGCACACTTTATGTGAGAAGGAAAAAGGAGAATACCGTGAATGCCTCTGCTGTATAAAAGGACAGGATGGCAGCATTGCTTCAGAAGCCAAGGAGCCACAGAAGGCAAACTCTGGTCCAGAGAACTGCAACCACAGGCTGGGAGTGGCAAGGTTTGCAAGGAGCTCAGTCCTAGCTCTTTGGCATTTGCTTGTAAGGGGCAGAGTCCATTTGGGGAAGCCTCAGACACTGAGGGGAAGAACTGGCTGCTCACAGGTGACAGGACATAACACCCAAGAGAGTGAGAATGCAAGATCAAGGCTCATCTCAGAACAATGCCAAGAATGAAGAAGAAAAAGCAAAGGAGAGCAGGAGAGAGATGCAAGTCCAAACTGGCCCTGACCAGCCCAGCCCATGGAAGGTAAGATTCAAGGAGAGGGAACTAAAAGCGAGAAGCCTTGGACCACTTCATTCTCCACAGTATGCACTCAACAAACTTTCTTTTACTCTTTAACCCAGTTACAGAAAAGAGCTCCTTCATCCCTTTGTCTGCTCCTGCAAAGGTGCAGTAAATTCAATAATCAGATGGTCTCATGAAACCTCAGAAAAGGTGCAATTGTACAACCTAGAGAGAGGTCCCTTTCGTTCCTCCTAGGAGTATTAATGATTATATATATATATATATATATATATATATATATATATATATATATATATAAATACACAATACAGATATGTTACTACTATTTATGTTAATGAGTGTCCACAAGTAACATTGAAATGATTCTTCCCTTAACAAGGGAGAGAGTATCACATCTGCCTTGTGGACGACCACATCAGTCCTCAGAGCTCAGCCATTCAGGGGTTCATTTCCCTCTCCTACTGCTCCCTCCATCCAATCTTGTCTTCTTATTGGTAATGTGACTCCCTATTGGCTCTCTCGTCTCTTTAAACTGCCTGCTTTGTGACATCATTCTCCCACCAAACCTACCACCACTTGGTAGAATCTTGGGATGTTCATACAGTGGTCTGTAAATAAATTTGGATCATCGCAACTGACCAGTGACCAGTAACCAGTAACCAGTAACCACTGACTAGTGACCAGTGACCTTCGTACTGGACACTTGTGCTCTTTGGCTCCTGCTGATCACGCATCTGGTGTTGTATCCTCATCTTTTGCATCTACAGTTGATACTTCTCTTCTTCTCTGACCATGTCAGGTAAGAAAAGAAACTTTTTAAAATTTTGTATTAGATATTTTTGGCCCTAAATTTAGGAGTAGACTCAAAACAGCATGGATAAGGGGGGAAAGTATTGATCTAAAAATCTGGAGACTTAATTTTAGTTTTGATTTCAACATTTAGTAGCTATGTGACTTTACACAGGTAACTGAATGTCTCACAAAATCTGGTTTTTCCTCATCTACTACATTAATATGTTAGATTGGTTGTTCTTTCTAATCACTTCCTTTCTAATACTGAGTCTTAAAAAGACACCCATATAAAAAGTAAAATCAAGACTTCCTGAGAGGGTTTCAACAGAAACAGATTGAAAACATAGGTGATATAAAAAACTATATCTATGTAAAATATATGTATGTAGAATATGTGTATATACACACACACAGGATGTGTCATGTGTAATGTTTTCCCACCACTAACATTTCTGCTCAGGGATTTTAAATTGAGTGCCATTTAAGAAGTAATATATATCAGTTTTTGGAGTTTTCTATCCAGACTAGGTGAGAAGAGAAAATAGGTAGAGAGGATGAAGAGTCCTGGGCAACAGGAGGGACAATATTTAAATGAAGGAAAGTTGAGGAGTATGTTTATCAGCACAGGCCAACAGGAGGAACCTAGAGGGAAGGGGAACTACAAGAATGAAGGAGGAGAGCGTGGAGGAGCACTCAAGAACAAAAATGGTAGTTTGTGATGGAATGTTGAAGGATACCAAAGATTTTAAATTAAAGCAGAAATAGCATAGGGTAAAATCTGCTCAGAGTAGGGCAAAATAAAGGTGATTTTTAGCAAATGCTTACATTAACAGACCAGGAAGGAAAGTAAGGCCAGAACAAGGTACCACTAGGCAAAGGAGGTTACACAAAAAGTCACATTCTGTTGTCTGTGTTTTTCTGTCACCTTTCTGAAAACAGATGGCATTTGACAGTTGAGTGTAACATTTAAAAACTACATTTTTGAAATGTTTCCTATGATCACTATGAAATTGGTTATCTAAGGTGCTGGAAGAGAGAACATTTTCAGTGTTGCACTTGATTTTTTTAAATTTTTAAAAATATTTTATTTATTTATTTTTAGGGAGGGAAGGGAGGGAATGGGGGAGAGAGAGAGAGAGAGAGAGAGAGAGAAACATCAATGTGCGGTTGCGGGGGGTCATGGCCTGCAACCCAGGCATGTACCGTGACTGGGAATCGAACCTGCGACACTTTGGTTCGCAGCCTGCGCTCAGTCCACTGAGCTATGCCAGCCAGGGGAGTTTCATCTTTATACTTATTTTCTTCCTAACACAGAGAACATTCTGATAAACTGCCACCATCTCTTTTTAAATCTTAGCTACCTAAGAAGAAAAAGAAAAGTCAAGCCCCACATGTCTAATTCACATTTATCTAGAAACAATTTTGTGGGGTCTCTTGGGGATTCCTACATTAAGTTTTTCTAATGGGAATCTGGTGATGATGGTTTTTAAGGCTTTGGGTATGACACATTCCTGGATGTGGAAGGCCATTATAACCTAGGTTTTAAGATAAATATAAAAAGCTTCATGATATTTTATAGTGTTCTCTTGTGTTTGTTACATGGCTATATTAATTGGAATATGTATTTCCACTGGACTCACTATCTGTTACTTGCTGGGTAATATTCAGATGAACATGAATGAGCACATTAATGGAATCCCTTTATCCTTTATTGTCTTCTTTATAGCTGTTTTCACTGAAATATTTGTCTATATTGGAGTTACCTGTGCATCCACATTTATTGCATTTTGCTACTTGTTATGCAATTTTTACTGATATGTCTTCTCTGTCCCTATGTATAGCTGGGAATTCCTTCAAAATCACCTTTCATTCTGGGCTGCATTTTGGTTACAGTACACACTAAAATAAAATAACAATGTTCACTTTTATAGTATTTCAGGCATAAACAGAACTTCATTTATTACTAAATTTATTATGCTTTGATCCCACTACACTCCTCAGTTTTGATTTATATATCTATATCTATATCTGTATCTATATATATATATCTTTTTAGTGCTTTGATATGTCTTTCATTTTTTTTCTTTGATATTTAAGAACATATACATCACATGTAATATACCACTTGTTCATGTATGAATTATTGCTGCTGTTATTATTACAAGCACTTTATAGAGGAGTAGCCTAAAGCTCACTTCTTTCGAAAAAACACTTCTTGAGAAACACACTCTCACATAGTCATTTTGAGAACAAATCAGAAATAAGGCTTCAAAAGGGTAAGAATAACTCTTTATAGTTACCAACTGGACTGAGCTACATGTGAATTCTAAGAATAACATATAAACTGGTCAGACAAAATGACACACTGAGATTATAATGGTAAGAGCCGTACTGTTTACGCTTGGACAAAAAAAAATCACCTATAGTAGAGTTTTATTGCTCCCAGTTAATGGTTGTGTAATACTCCGAGCACAGTCCAGGCAATGCAGTCAGGATGCCATGTGGCCTGGGAATAATCTGACATAATGGAAGAACTCTACAAGTCTGTCTAACCTCTCTGAGCCTCAGTTTCCTCACTCAGAAAATGAGAATGTTAGAACACAGATTCTCTGAAGACCACTAGCTCTAAAACTATTCAATTCTAGGAAACAGCATACAAATCAACGCTAGTGCAGCCTCAAGAGAACGACAGGGCAAGGAGAGGTTGCTTCTAGTCTGGAGAACAATATGTGAACCACATAAATTGGGGCTTCTGCACATTTTTGCTAAGTTGGGAGCAAGGGCAGTGAATACAGAGAATAGCAAACTGCTCCAGCACTCACAACACAATAAACTGATTTGTGATACAGCAGTAAGTATTGGTATTAGAAGCTTACTGATAGCAACAGCCTTAACATAATGGTATTCTTCAAAGACAGTGAGAGTTCATCAATCTTATTGATTTCTTTCATGGCTCTCTTGTTCCCTACAGAGGATTTCCAAAATCCACCATTCCTTGGAAATTCAGATTCTCCTCACCTCTCTCTTCCTCTAGTGAGCAACACAGCTTCCCTAACAGGCAGTGTCTGCAATTTCTCCAGGGTCCCTGCTCCAGCTGTCAGTTCAGCATGGCTATCACCATCAGCCTCTGGCACCTCATTCCAACCACTCATGAGCAGTGCCTGCCTTAACCAACATGCTCGTGCAACTATGTTGTCTAGAGGAGCTGGCCAGAGCCAGATCTCTGTCTCAGCTGCTTCCAATCCTGGTACTTTTGAGTGGGCTATCACAGGAGGCTCTAAAAAGAAGTCATCATTACTCAGAGACTTCACTGTGACTGTCATTGACCAGAACACAGCTGTTTCTTCCATGTCTATGGCATCCCAGTATGATACCACTTCAGATGCCAACAACATGACCTCTCTGTATACATCACTTTCTACCCATCTTGTTCAGGTGGCACCCTTTCAGATTCCTAATCAGGGACATAGCCTGTCACTCCCCTACCAGGAAAGAAGTCAGGGATATTACTGCAATCAAGGCCCATTGGGGCCTCTGCCATCTGGAGAGCTCAGCCCCTACCTCCAATCCTACGGCTCTGTTGTTTCTTACACGGAGAGCAGGGCCTCTGTCCCTCAACCTGAGTTGGTCATGGTATTAAAGGAGATTCAGCCCACAAATATGATACCACCAGCCTCCATGTCAGGAATCTACTCTTCTGTGTCTGCTCAACCTACAACACAGACAAGTTTTCAAGGTGAGTACATACAGTAAGAAAAAAGAGGAATAAGTTTAGCATTCAAAAACAGGGCCAGTCTGTCACTGGGAAGTGGTGAGTCCACAGATCGGTAGAATTTAAGTGTTGTGACTTTGAGAACTTACCACTCTCAGTCAGCACTCTCCAATTTCAGAGTCTTCATGAGAACACCTAATAGCGGAGGGAACGTCGGGCACTGAAAGGCCATGTTTGCTCTATGTATGAGAATCCCAAGAGTGGACCAAGGGATACCACCCTTTTCCCTGCCCTACCTGATTATTCCCCCTGTACTATCACACTGTGATGAACTCCCTTCCCTGATTGTTTGCCTTAGCCTATTTGTAAAGGGATTTCAGAACTCATTGCAACCATGCCAGTTTCACTGTCCCTCACTTCCTTGGTTTACACCAGGATTTAAGACCTTGTGTTCCAAGATCACACCCAACCAGGCAGGCTAAGTGTCTGTGCTTACCCATTTCATTAGGAAGAATTCCATTCCCTCTCATACTTTGTGATATGAAGTGTTTTTCTTTTGTCAGGACAGTAGAGAAAATTAAAAGGATTCTAGAGGAGATGCTAGGGTTGTAAAACGTTTAAAAATCACTTTTACTTTTTATTTGACTCAAAACAATGCTGTGGAAAACAAAGAAAACCATGGAACAATGACATCTGATGACCACCAGTAAGAAGTAGAACTGTTGCCCTCTAGCTCTTAGTGCAAGGTGCCATCCATGATCCTTCAGAGGAGCTAGTAGAAATGCCTTCCCCTTTCTTGTTAGGTACCTGACAGGGGACATGGGGAGCATCTTCCTTCCCAAGGACTGACTTTTTTTCCTTGATTCCTTTGTAGTGATCGATAGTTCCCTGGGGATAGAGACCTCCCTGGGACTGCAACCTCCAAGCCAAACATTTTTTCTACCACAAAATCCAGATTTCCCTAAGTCTTGCACAAGCAAAAATACCCAGAAACCAGAGAGCAATCCACCATCTGTGTTTGGGGACATTTCAATAGTAGTTTCAGCCCAGAGTTCTAGTAATCTCCTGGCACTGCCTTCATCTCCAAGCCAAGAACAGGAAGAGAATAAGAATTTGGATGATATTAACAACAACCTTTCAAAGCCTCTCGATGCCTACCATTTTCCAATAGGAATCCAAGATTCTCCACTGCTCCCCTTAGAAGTGCCTGATATTCACCAGCTCCTGGCTAGCATTGATCCACTACTCTCAGAAAAGCAGCCTGATTGTGAAAACGATGATCTGGGAAAGAATAGCCTGAGTCTTAAATACAGTCCTAAAAACAAAGAGACACTTGAATATGGGACTGAATATAGTGATAGCTTTCCAGACATTGCTACACTGGTGGAGGATATTCACCTTCCACAGGTCTTAAATTCCTTGGATGACCTTGATCAATCCAAAGGTCCCAAGGAGGGCAAGATAAAAAATACCAGAGCCCTCAAGTTGAACGAGCTACAGGAAAACTCAAGTGTCATTAAAGCTCTTGATCAAGCTAGGAAGAACAAACATAAAGCCTCTGAGACCATCAGTGGAGCTCCCAAGGACAAAATCAAACGTGAGAGCCCAGATTGTGCGTGCTTGGGAGAGGCGGGTATTTGCAACACTGCATCCAGTGATGGAGCCCCTGAGAGCACAGCCAAGCATCCTAACAGCAAGCCTCAGAAAGCTGCATCCAGCAGGAACAGAAAAACTAAGAGTCATGGGCAGGAAAAGAACAAAAGAAACAAAGACAATTCCAAGAAAGCCGGAGAAAGTAGGCAGTCAGGGAAAAAACTCAAGACAGAAGAGAAGTCAACAATTGCCAAGATGAAGAGGAAGAAAAATCAGCCTGAGTTGACCCAAGAGAACTTCAAAAAGCCTCGGACTCACCTAGGTATGCAAATGCTGGAGTCTGTGCAGGTGTTTCATGCACTGGGGAAGAGGCTTGATAAGAAAACTGAACTGTCTTCCTCCCAGGTCTTGGGAAACTCAAGCAACCCCATATGCCCCCAGTCACCCCCACTTACCAAAAGATGGCTGGATAACTTGAGTGAAGGCAAAGATCCAGAGAAAACTCAACTCACATGCCAGAAACCAGATGGCAGCGCTGAAAAAGAATGTTCATCTCCATCTCAGTACGAGCTGCCACCTCCTGGCAAGGTCAAGTTGGTACCTTTGCCTTTTCTTAACTTGGACAAGCCTCAAACTCGACCAGTTCCTCGCAGGCCACTGAGTCTGGCATCACGTCGCCCTGCTGTGGCCAATCCTGGTCAGCCTGGTTTTAGCTCTGCTCAGCCTGCTGCAGGCAATTCGTCAGGACCAACTCCTGCATCTTTGACAGGTCCTGCCAGACCAGACCAGCCAATTTCAAGCAGCTCATCCCGACCAACTTTGACCAGCCCTGCCAGGCCTGGTTCTAACTCAGCTCAACCTGAAGCAGTCAATTCATCCAGACCAATTCCTGCACCTTTGACAGGACCTGCCAGACCAGCTTGGTCACTTTCCACCAACCCATCTAGACCAGGTCTGACCAACACTACCTGCTCTAGTGTCCCTCAGTCTGCTGCTCCAAGGCCTGCCACCTCCAAAACATCAGCTTGCACTTCTTCCCAGAGGGAGCCCATTAGAATTGCTGTGACCAAGCCCCTGACCCCACCAAGGCCTCAAAACCAATATCTACTCCAGGATTTTGCCCTCCAACCAAATCCATGGAAGAAACCCACTGTCCTTGGGCCAGTCATGTCAAAGCCCATCACAAATGAGCAGAGGCCAGAGCGGGAGGCCATGAAGAGGATGGCTCAGCTAGAGCGTGAGAATGCTGCCAAATGCACCTCTCTGGGGAAAGTGCAGTATTTCATTGAAAGGGAAAAAAGAAATGGAAATTTCTCGATACTATGGTTATGCAATATGAGATGTTCATATGGTTGGTGCCTTTGCATACCAACATGTTTCCATAGACACACAAACATAAATTTCTCTATTATATTTTAAAACTTAATAAAATTGAATAAGAAATGCAATAGACTTAATATATGAGTAATAAAAAGACTTCTGAGTTTTGAGATGCTGTTCACTGTGGTTTTTCTTTGGTGAGGCTACGTGAGAATGAAATACTGGAAGGTGAGTGGGAGGTTGAGGGGTAAGGGGTGGGAACTGAGAAAAAGGAAGGAAATTAGTCCATAGCTCCAAAGGCAAAAAGAGGAGAAATGTTGGGGGGGGGGAGTTATAATTAGAAGCAAGAGGAGGGAAAAGGGTCCGAAGTTAGGGTTAAAAGAAAAAAAAATTGAATAGAGTTGAAGGTGGCAGAAGATGACCCTTGGTTGACCAAAAGAAATGTAAAATGTCTCCCGTGGAGGCTGGCCTTATGTCTCATGATCAACAGATAAGCATATACATTAGAAAACAGAAGAGGATGTATTTCTCCCATCCAAGTACTAACCATGCCCCGACCCTGCTTAGCTTCTGAGATCAGACGAGATTGGGCTTGTTCAAGGAAGTATTTCTAAAAGGCTTGGATGGTTTAATCATATACAATTGTAGCTGGGGAAGGTGAGTACAAAACGGGGCAATCCACCAGATGAGTGGCAAGGACTTAGAGTCGTCCTGGGGGCAGCTGATAACAGGGGCCTGGCCAAGTGAACTGTTGCAGCAGGAGCCCACCCAGAACAGGCCGTGGGACATAAACCACCATTTACTCAACCCCTGTGCACCAGGCCCAGAAACACACTAGTTCTGGCAACCTTCCCCACAACACGCAGGCCAGGGTCACTGTGCCACTTTACTTGAGATGTTCACCCAAGGGCTGAGGTCACATTGCGTGTGGTGGCGCAGAGCCTCGGTTTGAGCTTGTCTCCCAAGTCTTTAGTATTTTCAGGGCCTGGCCCTCAGAGCACAGCATCAGGACGTTACCGGTGGACGAGATCAAACTCCAGGAGAAGCCTAAGCATCAACGGTGGGGCCATCCAGGGCCTCCTCCAGGACCCCCGGTTGCACGTGCCTGCTGGTCTGAAATCCGCCAGCAACCGAAGCCCACAAGAAAAATTTGAGGGAAGCGTCTGTTGCCCTGGGGCCAGAGCAACAGGCGCACGCGCACACGCGCACTGGCGTGCCGCTCGAACAGCCCCACTACGCAGGCGTCAGTTCAGAGGGGCTTCGTGGGAGGCCTAGCAGGGGCAGGGAGAGAGTGGGAATCATCATCATTTTAAATTGTTAATGTGCGTTTTAATAACCACTTTTATTGAGACAAAATTTGCATTCTTTCAAATTCGCAGCTTTGAACTGTGAACTCAGTGACATTTCATGTAATCACAGTCCGTGCAGCCATCGCCATCACCTGACCCATAGCACTTTCACCAGCCCAAAGGGAAACCCCTCAACCAGTAGCAGTTATTCCTTCTTTCCTTCTCCCTCCGGCCCCCGGCAGCCACTGATCTGCCTCTGCTTGGACCACTGTGACTTTTCCAGAGATTTCACATATGCGGAGTAGTACAGTGCGTGACCTTTGTGTCTGGCTTCCCTCACTAAGCATGTTGTCAAAGTTCATCCGTGTTGTAGCGTGTGCCAGTCCTTCGTTCCATTCATGACTGCGCAATAGTCCACTGAATGGGTCTACCACTTTGTTCATCCTGTCATCGGTTGACAGGCATCTGAGTGGTTCCCACTAGCCTTTACATCTACTGAGAGTTCATTGTCTTCCAGCACCAGCCTACCTTAATCACCCCATTTAACAGATGAGGAGACAGACTTGGGGTGTGTCAAGTGTTTGCCCAAGGTTAAGAGCTAGCAATTGTGGGAGCTGGGGTTGAACTCAAGCAGGCAGACTTCAGAGGTAGCAGATTCACATGATGGAACTTAGAAAGGTACAAAAGGGTTTTCAATGGACATTCACCCTTTTCCTGAAGCTCCCCAGACACTAATTTTCCTCTGACCTTACACACACTATTTTGCTGTGCTGTGGATGTTTCCAGAGAAAGTGCTTACACCCTAATATATATTTTTCACAATTTACAGGTGTGTCCCACTAGTTTGAAATAATGTCAGTTTTATGATATACTAAATCTCTATATGCATTTCTATTACCTTTTTCAGAATTGTCCTGTTTTTTTGGGCTTTCATATTTCCTGCTTCCTTATATTCCCTTTTTTTCCTTTTGATTTCAAAAAATTTGATTCTTTTCTCATTTGTTCCCGTTCAGTCTTCATCCATTTTGTTCATTTGCTCTTGTATTAGATTTAATTTAGTCCTCATTTCTGAAATATTTTTAATTCTGACCTGAATTCTGTCATCTCACCTCATTCTGTTAGGTTATTCTTTCATCCCTTTTTTATTATGGTAAAATATACATACACACAATTCTCCTTTTAGTCCTTTTTAAGTATACAATTCAGTCACAATAAGTACATTCATGATGTCATGCAACCATCACTACCATCCAATTTTGAGGTAATTATGTCAAAGCATTGAGCAACATTTCAGAAAGATACATGGAGCAGGACATGTTTTGAAAATCCCCAAACCCCTGTCATGGAAATAGATCAACCCACACTCAACACCCAGGGGTAGCTTTTACCACCATTTAATGTTTCTAGAATGGCTTCATCATCCCAAATAGAAATTCTGTCCCCTTTAAATAATAACCTCCCATTTCCCTCCTGTACCATGCTCTTGCTTCTTCTGCATTGTTTTATTGAATGTCTTTTAGCTCACTGTGAAATACCAGGTTACTTTTTTGATCTGTTTCGAGGGCCCTTCTATTCTGACTTGTTTCTTTTGCAGACGAGATGAAATTTCCACTCTTTACCCTGCTCTTTATTTTCCTTTTCCCATACTACCTTTGTAAGGGATTGATCTCAGTCCTCGTCTGTTATTTATTTTTTAGGTAAAATTAGTTTTGATGTACTTAGAAAAGGGGGTGAGGTTGAAGACCCCTTTCTTAACTTTCACAGAACTTTTCTGTATTTACTTTAATGTAGTATTCAGAAACGTGGGACTTGCTATCTGAGGTTTCCTGGCTCTGTTCCCCATCTTTATCAGGACATTTTCCTCTTGAGTCTGCAGTTCCTGCCTGCATTTCTCTCCTCTGTGTGGGCCACCTCCTGGAAAGGCACTCTGGCACTCAGTGTCAAGGTACAGTGTCTGGACTGCTCCAGTCCTTCACACTGTTTCCCTGGCCCTTGTACTTACCCACTTTGGGCTTGTGCAAACCCCCTCCCAGTCTCAGCAGCTCTCCTCAAATAGGCCTTCAGTGCTTTCCAGTGACTACTGCTGGTGTTTTGAAGGCCTCCTGCCATCAGTCCATCAGATGCTTCCTATTGTCTGCCACTACTTCTGGTACAGATGCTGAGACCAGGCAGCTGTGTGTCTAATCCTGGGTGAACCTTCTTACTTTGTGGTGTCTGGGATCATGGTAAATGCCATCCATGGGTATCCTGGCTGGGTTGATCAATTTCCAGGAGAGGATTTAAGGGAATTCAAACACTCTATTGCAGCACCTATTTTGTTTAAACTCTGCTCCATCCTTTGACATAAATTAGTTTTAATTGGGGGGCCTTGTAATTTTTAGTTCCTTAAACGGAGTTCCATTTGCCCTACCCTAATAGGACTCTAGGTCAGACGAGGCTTTCTGGCTCTCCGCTGCCTGACATAGCACCTAATGTCTACATTCGTTCATACCATGTTTTGAATAGGAAGGCCAAACACAACAACCCAAAGGACTCATGGGTAGAGTCGCACTGTCCACCAAAGGCATAGAATAAACTTGTGGGTAGGTGGAGAGTCTGTAGGCATTCTGTAGTCAGGAACGTGTATCTTTTCAAAAACAAAAAACAAACAAAAGACAACAGCTGGTCCCTGTGCCTGCACAGCTTTCTTCATCTCAGTTCATGGTAAAGCAACTTTTCTAGTTTCTCAGTCCAACCTCACATCCAGAATATCAGCAGCCCCATCTGTCTAAGTCTCCATTTTATCTCAAACAGTCCACTTTTGACCACTTTCCTCCACATCCACCTAGTCCAGGTTTCCATCATGTCCTGCCTAGATTAGTGAGAGAGACTTCTATCACAGAATTTCCAAGTTTCTAGATTCACAGAGGCCTTGGTGTCTGAACTCTAGGCTTCAAAAAATAAAATTTTACCAGTCACCCTTATTAAGTTGTTAGTTCTCAAAACTTTATTAAGCATTTATGGCTGTAGTGGGCTGGATAACAGCCACCCAAAGAGATCAGTGCTGATCCCTGAAACCAGTAAATCTTACTATTTCATTCAGGAGAAGGGTCATTGCCTGAGTGATTGAATCAAGGATCTTTATATGGGAGGTCATCCCAGATTATCAGGGTGAGCTGAGCCATAAATGCAATCCCTGTACCCCTGTAAATGGAGACAGAAGAAGGTTTGGTGCAGACCAGAGAGGAGGAGGTGGTGTGATGGTGGAGGCAAAGACTGAAGCAGTGCCACCACCAGCTAAGCAATGACTGCAGCCAGCCAAAGCTTCAAGAGGAAAGGAATGAAATCTCCCCCCACAGCCTCCAGAGGGTGTGGTCCTGCTGACACCTTAATTTGGCCCAACGATACCCACTGCAGACTCCTTACCACCACAACTGTGGGTAATAAATTCCTGCTTTTTGAAATCCACCCAGTTGTGACCACTTGTTAGAACAGCTTCAGGAGAAATGTTCCAATAAAGCTATACATTGTACAATGATACAATGCTCCAATAGCAAGTAGATATTTGAAAAGTAATACATGTAAATTTAAAATATATTTGTATTTTACTCTTAAATTAAGGGTAAAACTACCTGCGAATATGTGACCATTGGGCACTGTACCACACGTCACACCTTAAAATCTCATTGGACCCTGAGAGCCTCATTTCCTATTCCAGATTAATTTTCAAGCAATGCTTTCCTCTTATTAC